AATATTTGCCATCTATGTTTATATGATATTTAATACCGGGGTTGTAGAAACAAGAATAGTCATTTATAGTTCGTCTGAACAGTACAAACATAGTATCTGCATGTTTCATTGCAGTTGTTAAAGCAATATCTTTTCTTGCACCTGGGTCAGCACTTTGGTTTCCAACTTCACCTGCAAAGTCTTTGACAGATATTTGGTGTATAGGGAACATAAGTGGAACTGCAATATATTTGGCAGCTAAAGCATTTGAAATATCTGGGTCCAACATATAGACTGCAAGTCTGCTTTCTATTCTCTTGCATTCAAACTTTTTCGCATGTAAACTTAACTGGGTCCCAAGCAGTTCCAGCAGCATTGAAATAATAGTTTACTTCATTGTTGAAGTTTGAGAAACCAAAGTCTAAGTCAACTTTGTCTTTGCAAAATTCGGCGAATGACGTTGATTTGTTCCCTTACGTCTGTAAGTAGTGAATGGGTCTTGTGTTGGTGCAATGACTAAGTTATTTTTGCTTGGAGTAAGTTCAATAGAAATTTTTCCTGCCCAGTTTGGCAAGTATCTTAAAAACCTGAAGATGAAGGAAAGATGACAAAGGAACTCTAAGTTTCAGTTTTACTTTAGTGGCAGCAGTTCCATCTGAACCAGAAAGGTTAACATAAAACTCCTGGAACGTTAGGGTCAAGTCTTCTTATTTTCTCAATAGTTGCATACTGGTCTGTTTGTTCTCTAGCTTGTGGTTGTACTGAGTTTCTCAAAGCGAACCATTCATAGTTTGCCCATGTACTGTTTGAACTAAGTCAGAGTTAGAAATATATCTTATATCCCATGAAAACTTCTGGAGCATATTGGTATCCGACATAGAAAATTCCATTGCAACCTTTCTTGTCAGACAACTTGGCAGAAGGTTTTATTTCAATGTCTTGTTCCACGTATAAGAATGAGTTGTCAAGAAATAATATGAAACCTGTCGCAAGCAATATCTACTGTTGTGAAGAACCTTCTCCAAACTCACCTACGTTTCCATAAGAAACAGCAGTTGTATATTCGTAAGTTCCAGGAACTATTTCTGACCTTCTAATGGCATTGTCGCATTCGTTATACCATTCGGAACATTTCCGTTCATGGCATCCAAAACTGTTGGCGTTATATTCTGAGCGGCGTCATTTCATATGGGTAAAAATATAGAATAGTTGGATTTATGTGTCATAATAGAACCCACTCGTACAAGCTTTACTTTCTTCCTGACTGAGTTTTTAACTCTTCTTTTTCCTTCATTGCCACTACTTTCACTAGATGAAGTTACTTCTTCACTATTTTCACTTTGTTCTACTCTTCTTCTTTGGTGTCGCTTTTGGTAACTTTGCCCTCTGCTTCAAGTTGTTGCATCTTTGCCTCATGTTCACCTAGTATGTTGTAAATTTCCCATGTCCTTTTTTGCCTTTGGCTCTGGTCGCCCATCTCAGGTAACCTATATCCTAGAAAGAATTTGTCATAGTTTGTATTTGAGTCTTCGCGTATTGTTTGCATGACTCTTTCCTGAGTTTCCGGTTCAAGCTCTTCAAACAGAGCTTGTCCATATGGAATAAGCTCGTTTCCAAATATATGTTTTTTGTAGCCATTCTGGTTTTCTTTCATGTTACCAATAATATCTTTTGTGAATGGGAAAGCTTTTACCCAATGTTTCAGTCTTGCGTCATTTATTTCTGTAGTTGGTTTTATTTTGTCAAGGAACATGTTTTTTCAATACTAACATTCATTTGGTACTGTCCATTTGAGTTTTCTTAAATATTCATCCCTTTCTCAGTTCATTGTCTGCAAAGTAAGTTTTTATGACATTTTGTAAACTTTCGTTTGCAAGGTCATGTACAAAGGTTCTCTTCCTTCTATCTCCCTAACTTTCTTTCTAAACTCTTCACCAATATACCATCTTTATGGTTCTGTGTAGTTCTTTGAGATAATGTTCTAGAACGTCAGGTGTTATATTTCCATCAGCCATGTTCATTTCATACTGGTTCAAATATCTGCATCTTTCATATCTTTCAATGGCATTAAAGCCGCGCTGAAAATACAGCTATATCTGGTTCACCATTCACTTCCATTGCGTCTACAACTTCTTGGAATTGAGGTTGTAAGTTTATGAACCACCTATCCGGATTAGCTTTATGACCCCATCTCATTGTAGTTCCATAGTCTGCAGAAACAAAAGTAGGTTTGTTTCCATATTGGTTAGGTTCTGAATGAACTTTAAACAATGTTTCATTTCTATATGTTTTGTTGAAATTTAACCTTTTATTTTCACCGAGTTCAGCAAAAGATTGAACGTTATATGGTCGTAAGTAAAAAGGATTGTTGTATTTGCGTACATTTTCTTTCAGTTCTTCCATTCTATGCTGAATATTTTCATCTGATGTTGGAGTCTTTTGTATGTCGGCGAACATTTTTCGATATTCTTCTACTATGTCAGCCGAATTTTTCTTAGACTCTTGGAAAGATTCCATATTCTCCGCATACTCTTGTTGAGGGTCAAGATTTTTCGGCTGTTCCAAATCTTCATCTAGTTCTGTGAAGTTAGTTTCCAAAGGAGGGACTTGTTCGTTTCCTTCTGGCTCTTCTAGCTGTTGTTGCTGAACTATTTCTTCCATGTCTGGTTGTATCTGAACTTCTTCCTGTGGAGTTTCTTGTACCTCATCTGCTGGCATTTCATATATTCCGAGACCGTTTTTAACAAGTTCCCTATTTAAGCCATCCGCATTCATAACCCTTTCTTCTTTCGTTCCGTCTCTATTTTTTACGCGTTTCATGAAGATAGTTGAATTATCATTTATCTCTGACACCAAATATCTCGGAGTAAATTCAGTCATGTCATTTGGATGATATGCTATTAAATCATATCCCTTAGCGAGCTTGTATTTTCCAGGTTTGAAATTATATCCCATTTGGTGCTGAACCATAAAGCTAAATAGGTTCGGGTCAGTATTTCCTTCCTTGAACTTTCTAATAGCTTCTTTATATCTGTCACTAAAGTCAAGAGTATCTGGGTAACCATAACTTTCCTTAAGCATTTTTAAGAATTCTTGGTTTCCTTGTTCTCTACTTCTTTTATGTCCTTGCTCTGTTTGTGGTTGTTGTGCTGTTTGTGGTTGTTGTTGTGCAGGGTTTTGAACTGTTGGTTGCTGTGCAGTGTTTTGAACTGTTGGTTGTGGTGCTGGATTTTGAACTGTTGGTTGTTGTGCTGGATTTTGAACTGTTGGTTGTTGTGTTGGTTGTTGTGTTGGTTTTGGTGCATGCCTGTGTCTGTGTCCATGTGACGATGTAAATGTTTTAGGTAGTCCTGGTGCAGGTGCTTCTCTTGGAGGGTTTGGTGGTATATAAGTTCCACTAGCTGGCACATATGTTCCATCTGCAGCATAATGTCCTACCTGACTTTTCGTTTTTAAGAAAGCATTTACTAGGTCTGTTTTGGTCTGTTGTAACTCTTTTTCTTGACTTTCCACAACAGTTGCTCTAACGGCGTCATAGGCACTTTGAACTGCCTGTCTCGTTGCTGCATCTGTTATTTTCGTCATATTTTGTGCTACTTCTCTTAACTCGTTGTCGAAACCTTCAGACTTCAGTTTCTTTCCAGATGAGAAGTCGTTCACTAGTTTCACCTTACTATGAAGAGCTTCGAAGGCGTTCTTAAAGTCAGCATTCATTAAAGCTTCATTTGAACTGTCTTCATCCGCTTGTATTTTTGTCCTTATTGACCCTATAAGTTGGGCTGCTTTGGCGTTGGCTTGGGCATCTAACCAGTCATTATTAGCTTTTATATATTCTGCGCTTTTCATTGCCTTTTGCATGGCTGCGTCGTTATTTTTACTTTCTTGTGCTAAGTTTTCATACTGTACGGTTTGGTTTTGCAACTGTAAAAGTTTTTCTGCCTTTACATTTGCTTCAACTTCTTTTTTATACTCATCGCTATCCATATATGTCTTCAGGGCTTTTTGTTTTATCTCTTCATCTTTCAGTACTTTATATTGAGTAGTATGGTTTTTCAAATTTATAACATCTTGTTCCATTTTTGCTACTCTGCTGCTTTTTCTGACACTTTTTTCGCATATTCCTCTGTACTTAGTTCTTTCGGTTGTTCTTCTTTCTTCTTTTTCTCTACGTTTAACTCATTGAGTTTCTTTGTGTGTCTGTCATATTCTAGTTTCTTTTCGTTTTCACTTATTTGTTTCTGTATGTCTATGTTTGACTTTTTGACATCTGTTATTTGATTTTTGAGTGAACTCAAATTCATTTGACTTTGAGGGTTATAAGCTGTTCCGTCTGCAGCTCCACCATAGCCTGCCATTTTCGCTAAAAGTGCCGCTCTTAAACCTCCACTCTGTGCACCAATAACTCGGTTTAAAAGCATAGGGTTGCTTGACATTTGTTGCAACATAGTGGGGTCATTCATAATTTGTTGTTGCAACTGTTGTTGTGGTGTCAGTTTTACTATTGGATGTTTCAATGCTCTCTTCCTCTTACGTATATTCTTACGTAGCTTACGTGGCATTTTAAGTGAAGTTAAAAAGCGGTTTTTGACAGATGTTTATATGACACTTTTTGTTCAGCACAAAAAACTACTCGGTCAAAGTGTTGTCAGTTTTGTAAAATAACCGTCCGATCTCATTCTATAAGGGGAAAAGGCTTCTCAAAGTATACTTCCTTGGAACGCCTGTAACTTTTCCTGTAGCGACGATAGACCCTTACTTGTCCGGACAAAGTTATACTAAACATCTTCAGGGCTAGAGGGCACGAAGTGCCTGGAGGCCCTCCTAATATAAACTTCATTTATACTAAACATCTTCAGGGCTAGAGGGCACGAAGTGCCTGGAGGCCCTCCGAATATAAACTTCATTTATACTAAACATCTTCAGGGCTAGAGGGCACGAAGTGCCTGGAGGCCCCACTACCTTTTTTTTTTTTTTTAATTAGTGATAGATACATTATTTTTTAAAAGAAATAATATAAAATTTTAATACAAAAGAGCTCTAGAGTAAATTGTGTTTACAGACCTTATTGCACACAAGTTCTCTCTCGAATGGAGGCAAAATCCGTCAGGAGTTGTATCCAAATCCTGTTTTACAGTTGAAATTGTTCCATTTTCAAAAGAAATTCCTACAAATGAGTTATTTGTCAAAGCAACAGCGTAAGGAAGCTGTGTATGCACATCAAACATCTTCACAGTACCTCCTATGCCTTCTTCAGCCACAGTTTTCATTGTCCTCATATCAATCATTCTGATTTTTCCATTTTTAGAGGACTGTAGCATGTAAAGTGGCATAGCGGTACAGGCGTTTGCGGACAAAAAGTTCATGTCACTTCCCTCAACAGCTGCAACTTGTTTCTGCATCCTTGAATCGTAGATGTAAACGTTATCTTGGGCAACATAGAACAAAGTCGAATATGGCTTCAACCACTGCATCTTACTTAGTGGTTTTCGCTTGATTCTTATGTCTGTTATCGATTTCAAAGAACCGATATCGTAAATTCGAATTTTTGATGAGTTTCCACCGCTCGAAAACAGCAAATGAGCATTCTTATGCATATAATCGACATAAACCATGCTCGGATTATCAGGTTCATTCATCCAAAACGAACTTTCAGCATCAAAATTATTCAAAGTATTAATTACGCAGAGTTGAGATCTGTTTGATACAGTAAGTACTCTCATATCATCTATAAATGTCTGATATTCGATCATTGACCTCGCCTGCAGCCTGTTATTGTACATTGTTTTGAAATCATACGGAATATGTTCAGGAACTAGGCTAGTTTTGAAGAAATTGTAGACCTGGCGGGCTGGAATACCGTAAGAAGTGACTTGCGCATGCATTCTACCTGCTGTATCCGCACATGATAGTAATCCTGAGGGAGAAATGGACGGAGAACCAGTTAGAATGCATTCATCTGCAATCATTTGGTTCGCGGAGTACGATAATGATACATTTGTTTTAGTAATCGGTGGATGTGCGATTCTATTGAGTAATCCATTGGTGAAATTAGATTCCAGAGGCTTTGTTTGGACATTTACGATCTGTGCGTCGATGTAGCATAAGAATTCTTCGATTCTTTGGGATACTCTCGTTGAAGGCTCGTACATCAAAATATTAATCGTATGAGCAAGGAGTTTTACGATACTCGATTCGACGGAATCGTCATTAAATGTCGCTACATAGTCTTTAAGCGTTGAAAAGAAGTTCGGAGGCTGAGTTGCCAAAGAATGAGATAAAGCAATTAAACTTTCTTCGCGAACTCTGTTGTAAGGATCATTCAACAAAGCAATCAGATTGAAAATCATCTCATCGCGAGCTGTATCCGACGTTTCTTTGTCAATTGTTGTAATAACTCTGGAAACAATTGCTGCTCTGGCCATTGGATCATTCTCGTCTTGCATTTCTTCCAACGGTTCTTTGATTCCATGCCCCAAATGGCCTAATATTATATGGGATAATGTACGAAGATAAGGGGACTTGTCACTTTTTGTAAACAACATCATTTCTTGAATGAATTTTTCATCATTCAATTTCTGTATTCCTTTTTCTATACATGAAAACAATAAAAGCATTGATAATGAATATATTGCAAGCTTTTCTGTTTCGGATTTCATAAGCATTAACCAAAAATCAATGTAATCAGTGAAATAATTCAATAAAGAGCTCTTCAGAAGGACACAACTGATGATAACAAAGGTAAAATCAGCTATTGTTTCATCTCCCGACTCTTCAATTGTTGATTTATCTTTCAATATTAGATGAAGAATCGGAAAAGTCCTTGTTTCCATCAGGCTCTTGGTCCTTTCTTCCGAAATCTCTACGAATTTGGCGCAAAAATGGATGGATCGCTTGAAAAATTCGGGAGAACTGATTAAAATCTCAACAAAAGGTAATTCCATTGGAGATGGTCGGTCCTTTTTAGGGAAAAGGAGCCAGTTCTCGAGATGCTTCATCTGTTCTTCCAAGAGATCGTTGTATGCAAAGATATTTCTTGGAGTTGGCTTCATTGACTCTTTTAATGAGTACAGGGCCCTGTCAACTTGGAAGAAGAACGAATCCCAGAGCTCGTGGGTTGACATATCAGGTAAAGGAGGAAATGAAGTTGGAATTGCGGAAATTGTCTTCATCATTCGATGGGAAAAGATGAAATTAGTAAATAATCGTGATAGGAATGTATTCTTTCTGAAAACTTTTTGGAATAAATAAGGATTTGATTCCATAACTTCAGAAGCCATTGTATCAACGTAAGCTTCAAGCGCTTTATCGAGCATGTCAAGTATTTCGGAAAATACGTGGTATTCGTTGAAAATATCGATCAAAATTTGAATATCAATGTCTGATAAAAATCCGCTTCGAATATTTGTATTATTTTGGATTTCCCAGAGCACAGCAACCTTTGATGGTGTCAATAAACATGACGTAAATAAGTCACAAGGAAGCTGAGGGTAATAATTTAAAGTATCTTGAGAAGCAGCAAGGACAATGATATCTTTTGATTTCTCGGTTAAGACTTTGAGTGCGTCGTCTGCAAAACTGCAGTCAAAAATGAAAACAGTATTGTCCGGAACTTGGCCAGATAAAAATCTTAAACTTGGAGGGTCTTCTTGTATAGGAGAAGAAGGAGCAATGGGTGTTGATATCAGTGATGGATCTGTTAATGAATAAAATTGACTACCACTTCGTGATAAAATCAGCCTAGAAGATTGTACTGAAGCGTTGGTTGCTGCACGCGACTTTTGAGTAATAGTTGGATCAATTACATGGTAAATAAGCTGCATATCACTTGTATTTTCAGGAATTGGTAACATATCTTTGTTTCCATGTGAAACTGAATCGAAAGTAAAAGATAATTTATCTGAAAATACTTTATATTCGTGTTTAATACCTGCTCTAACTGTTTTTTCTGCCGATTTGGAATCTAACGCTGAAAGATCATTCCAACAAACAACTTTTGGAGGAACGGTTTCTTCATCGAATGAATATTGCTGTAGCATCGTAAAATCATCTGTGATTTTACAATGGACGTGAATCTTTTGCGTTTCTAAAGAAATTTGTGGAATATTAGTCTCTTTATAAAATTGTGTATTAATATAGTATTCTTTTAGTGGTTCCCATGGCTTGTATGACTCTTTATTTATTAAATTCTCTATATGAAGTTTGAAATCAAAGGTTTCATTTGTCATTGTCACTTTTCTAAATTATTTTTATATTTTGGAAATTGAGGGTGTTATTTACGCCCATCTGACATTTAATTGAAAATTTCTGGCAGCTGATGTGAATACCGTAATTGAAAATATTCATGATTTTGTTAACTTTGATGTGTATTTTCAATCAACTTGCGCATGAAATAGAATTACAATCATTCCTCCAAAAATTGAACTTCGCTCAATTTTTAGAAGAAAGATGTTAATTATCTTATGAATGATTCTAATGCCGAATAGCATATGGATCTAAAATAATCGTATTTAGATAATTAATGTTTTCTTTGATTTTAAAGCATTTCTCACTATACATGTATTAGCCTAGAATGCTCTGTCGGGTGTATACTTTTTATCCCCTCACAGTACAATCCAAATCTAACAGCCAAAAATTGTGAAAAATTAGTTGGGTAAAAAATGTACGTTAAGCGAGAGTACATATAAACATACATATCTTTAATGCGAGAGTACATATAGACAATCGTGCAGTGTTAACGAATGAAAACAACAGATTACCGTTTAAATGATATAAATATATAAACATACATATCTTTAATTAATAGAAAATACAAAATAAAATTACTCAAATTCAGTATTAACAAGTCTTTCAAAAATGATTCTGCTTTCGATGTTCTTTTGAGACATCTTTGAGTTTTAATAAGAATTAACTGAAAGGATAAAATAAAGTCACCAAATCTATTTAAAAAATATCAGGAAAATGAAATTATCCGAAATCTGCAACAATAATCTTCTCCATTAGCATTCTACTCTCATAGACCTTTTGTGACTTTCGAACAATTTGGATTTTGATAACTATGAATATAAGTATACAAATAACAATAACAATTGATATAGCAATCATAATAATTTGTAGTGTGGTAAGTCTGAAGTATTTTTTATCAGGAAAGTTTGGACAGTTAGATGTTTTATGAGCATGAACACCACCAATGTTATTGTGCGGATAGTATTCTGAAACATTAACAATTTTCACTCGATCTTGAGAAAGGAATTGACCTTCAACTGAACGATCACCGCAGTACAAGAATGTGTTGATATAACTGTTAGAGAATGATTTATCTGAAATTCGTTTGATGTTTCCGATGATAGTAATATTAACGTTATGTGATGTGATGAAATATTCGTCGATAAATGAAGCGTTTTCATGAGAAACAATGGTAATGCTTTCAAGATGATAGAATGATGAAACTGATGGATATTTAATGACTGATACATTAAATGTGATTGATTTGACTATGTTATGGAAAGATTCAATTTGTAATATATCATAATTTTGTGAGTTAATAACAATGCTTTCTAATTTGCTGCAATTTTCAAAAACATTTTCTGTTATTGAACAGTTTGATTCAATAATAATTTCATGCAATTCATAACAATTTGAAAATGAATCCTTTTCTATGGTTTTAAGACTCTTTGGTAAATTGATCTTATTCAATGATGTGCAATTAATAAAACATCCCTCACATAGCTGAAGGAGCGCAATTTGAAATGTTAGTTCTGCTAAATTTGTACAATTTGCAAATGCGTGTGGCCCAATTTGTTGCAATGAAACTGGAAATGAAATAGATTTCAATGAATTACAGTTGAAAAATGATTCAGTGGCGATTAACAGGCATTTATTTGAATTAATATTGACTGTTTCAAGAGAAGAACATTCATAAAAGCATTGAACAGGTATAGATTCAATCAAAGTCTCCAATGTTACTTCTTTGAGATTAATGCAATGACAGAATGCTCTCGTAGCAATTTTAGAAACTATATTTGGAATTTCGATACTAGAAAGATTAGTGCATTCTTCAAAGGCCATTTCTCCAATTGCTGTAATGTTATCTGGCAATTTTATTTCTCTTAAACTAGTGCATTGATAAAAGAGTTCTGAAGAAATGTTAATAATGGTTGAAGGAAGAGTGATGTTTTCTAATGATTTCATACCTTTGAAACAGCAATTACCGAGTGTAACTGGTTTTGATAAATTTAAGAATGTAATACTTTTAATATTGATACAACCTTCAAATGCAGATTCCCCAATTTTTCTGATGTTTTCTGGAAATGTAAAACTTTGCAAAGATCTGCAATTAAGGAATGAATGATAACCGATAATTTTAATAGTATCAGGAATTTGAATCGATTTTAATGAATAACAATTTGTGAATAGATAGTTATTGATGAAAGTCAAATCTGTTTCAATTACAACGCTTTCCAAATTAGTGCAATTTGCAAATACCCCTGTACTTATCAGGATTTCATTTCCCGAGCAAACAATACTTTTAATACTTTTACAATTTGCAAATGCGTATTCTAAAAGAACTATATGTAGCGATGAATCAAATGTTAATTTTGTGCAATTATGAAATGCATATTTTCCAATTGAAGCTATACTACTTGGGAAATCTATTTTACCAATATTTATGCAATTTTCAAAGGCTTCAGGTCCAATATCTACATGAACAGAATTAAATTGTACTGTTTCAAGACCAATGCAGTTACAAAATGTGCCTTCATAAACATCATCTGTTGGAATCATAATTGATTTTATGCTTAAACAATATGAAAATGCATGATTGCCAATATTATCTAGCGATTGTGGAAAAGAATTAAATGTTAATTTTGTGCAATTATAAAATGCATAATTTCGAATTGAACTTATAGTATTTGGGAAATCAATATTTCCAAGATTTATGCAATTTTCAAAGGCTTTATCTTCAATAAATAAAGACCCAATGTAAAGTTGTATTGTTTCGAGACCAATGCAGTTACTAAATGCGCCTTCTCCAATAATATCTGCTTTAATTATAATTGATTTTATGCTTAAACAATATGAAAATGCAAATTTAAAAACACCACAGCTCGAAGATGGAGAAGAATCAAATGTTAATTTTGTGCAATTATAAAATGCATAATCATTAATTAAAGTAATATCAGAAATATCTATTTTGCCTAGATTAATACAATTCTTAAAAGTACCAGCCTGTATGTCTAAACCATATGGGAAATTTATTGATTGAAGATTTGTACAATTGCAAAAACAATATTCACCAATCATATTAGCACTTGGAGGAAGTTTGATATGTTGTAAACTTGAACATCCACAAAATGCATAGCTTTGAATAGATTCTAATGATGCAGAGAGTTGTATGGTTTGAAGATCTCTGCAATAATAAAAACAATAAACTCCAATGGAAGTAACGTTTGGAGGAATTTCAATATGTTGTAAACTCTTGCATCCATAAAATGTGTATTTATAAATAGATTTTATCGAGACAGGAAGTTGTATTGTTTGAAGATTGAAGCAATAATAAAAGCAATAATCTCCAATGGAAGTAATATTTGGAGGAATCTCAATATGTTGTAAACTCTTGCATCCATAAAATGTGTATTTATAAATAGATTTTATCGAGACAGGAAGTTGTATTGTTTGAAGATTACTGCAATCAATAAAACAAGAATCTCCAATGGAAGTAACGTTTGGAGGAATCTCAATATGTTGTAAACTCCTGCATTCATAAAATGTGTATTTATAAATAGATTTTAATGATGCAGGAAGTTGTATTGTTTGAAGATTGGAGCAATCAATAAAACAAGAATCTCCAATGGAAGTAACGTTTGGAGGAATCTCAATATGTTGTAAACTCTTGCATCCATAAAATGCATAGCTTCCAATAGATTCTAATGATGCAGGAAGTTATATTGTTTGAAGATTACTGCAATTAGATATTAAATATGATGAAATATATTTTAAATTTGAAGGAAGTTGAATTGTTTCAAGAGAATTGCAATCACTAAATAAGTATTCCAATAAAATAGTATTTTCGGAATGAAAAACGACTATTTTCAAACTTAGACAAGATTCAAATGCATTTTCTTCGATTATTGAAAGATTTGGGGGTAATTCGAGACTCTCTAATTTTTGACATAAAAAGAATGCATGTCTATGAATTATTTCTAATGAATTTGGAAACGAAATCTTAGTAAAATTTCTCAAACCTGCATATTGATATTCACGTATTTCCTTTGTGCCTTCAGGAATGAGAAGAGTGTCGAGATCTTGAGGATTAAAAGCTGCTTTGATGAAAAGAATCAAAGAAAAGATCATTTGATTATTTGTAAAGTTCTCAATTTAAAAAGTCAGATCATTCGGATCAATTTGTCATTCGGTAATTGAAATTTTAATGATAATAAAATAAATAGGAATTATAATGATTAATTTTATAATCACTCGATTTGATGTAAGAAATGGTGATTAATTTCCGAAACCAAAAATTCAATTTTATTAGAATTGAATTAAAATTAATTTTTTTAAAATCCATTTCGATGTGCGTTTTCTGTACAAGTGAAGTAGATAAATGGGGAAAAAGATTAAAATGAAGTTAATTTAGATTCCAAATTGTTGATAATTTCAATGGTGGAATGTGTAGTGGTTAATATCAAACTGGGTATTTTATAATATACTTAAATGAGAATATCAGCATATAATTTGGAGAAGAAAATATGAAATGCTTCACTATTCAAAAAGAGTGATAAAACCTTGAACACTCACTTATTGAGTACACAGAATTCGAAATGTGATATGCATCTTTGTATATTTAATAATAATCCTTATTAATATTGATGATTTTTTCCGGTCTGGGAGATACAATTATTGGGTCGCTTACGTTTTGGCGTCGCGTGGCGTCGCGATGTAAACTATTCAATTTTGAGAGGTTTACACCATTTTTTCAAAGGTTTATGGCGTCGCAAGGCCAAAATTGAATAGGCCGTTGTCGCCAATGTAAAGTTTATTTTTGACATATAATTAAGAATGTCGAGCAAGTTTTCTCGTTTTTGAAAAGAAACCAAAGGCTGTGAGGCACTGATAACGTATTTCAATCCTTAATTAAAAAACAAATTAAAAACACAATTTTTTATTCAATTGCCACGTAAACCTTGGCAAAAATAAACTTTACATTGGCGACAAGGGCCTATTCAATTTTGGCCTTGCGACGCCATAAAGCTTTGAAAAATAGTGTAAACTTCTCAAAATTGAATAATTTACATCGCGACGCGACGCGACGCCAAAGCACTTTTTTCCCAATTATTTTTTTTCCAAACCTTATGATTTCCTTCTTGGAGATTTGCTGCATGTTTATGACTTGATCTCATATAATTTAAAGGATTGTGTTCCTGAAGGTGAAGAATTGGTTTCTGGAGCTTTTTTTTCATATGAGAAAAGTGACAAAATTAATCGAAATTATAATTAAAAAAAATGCAACATGTATTGCACGAAAACTCGGTTGACTTCACTTATCATACCATTATATAAAAACCATGAGAAAAATAATAGAGAGAACAAACTTAAGAAATGATTAATTATAAGCTACATTACAATATAACTTTGTCTTTCTTCATCTGGTATTGTTTATGATATAGCCCTTGAATATCACAAAATATAATCCAAGTTTAATTAGATGAATTAAGTTAGGTATTTTGTTTTATGCACTAATTAAATAACATCTGATTATACATATTTGAATCTTGGACTAAAATATGCTTTCTAATAAGTTGTGACGTTCAAGTCAACAATTTGATCAATCGCCGATATTGTATCTACACAATTTTAATCAAACAATATATAATTATATAAATTATTTTTCTTTTATCAAAAACATCTTCTAATTTTTGAAACCAATGACATTTAAGTAATATTTTAAATATAAAAGGCAGATAAACTCATTATACAGTTAGATATATGTACTAATATATTGCAGAATACATTCAGTAACTTATACTATATCAAATGAAAATATTTTAACCGAACCAAATACAATTATATTTAATCGATTATAAGTAGTCAAATCGAAATTATATTCACTCGAATACCAAAAAATATATATGCCTACATATTTAACTAAAATAATTGTATTTAACATAATTCAAAATGCATAAATAAATATGAAATATTGCGAAAAAAATGTTTTCATGATAAGTGAAGTCAACCGAGTTTTCGTGCAATACAAAAAAAATGCAACATGATAGGGCGATGGGCGAAATTAAACCTGGGAGAAAATTATGGGTTATGATATATATAGTTCCATGGTTTATATTAGGTTTTTTAACAGCGATATTTTTACGTAATTCATCAAAACAATCCAAAATCACAGCATTAGATCCGAAACCAATAGGTTTTTCATGGAGCTCAATTCCATGGAAGATCAATACTGATATCAAAGTCTCAATTGACCCGACTTATCAAATTGTTTTTTCAGGACAACCAGATCAACACGTACAAAATGTATATAGAGCAGCAGTTAACATCACCGAGCCATATTATGCAAAAGTAGCATCGTCATGCCTTTCAAATGACGGGTTTGTCGTTCATTCAAACAAAGAATATCCGAATAATCACCCATGGTTTCCGAAATTCGATTTGAATAAGTATCTTCAACAACCTAAGAAGTCTACTTACTATCCTAGAGTCATATTTGCACCACAAACAGCAGAAATGTCAGATCAATTCTTTATTTCAAATGTTTTCCCACTTTTATTCTCAATTCCCGATAACATACTTTCCTCATCTGTTATAGCATTTACTAAGATGGATCCTGCTCTTAAAGATTTCTTAAAATCAATAGATTTCAAATTAGAAAACACAGTAACGACAGAAAGCGGCATAGTATGTGCAGAAGAAGTAATTATTCCGAAAATACCAGAGCCAAATCAAGTAACTCAAGTTGCAAATACAATTATGACAGAATCAATTTCATTTTCCAATACAGGACAAGTAGCCATCCTTGTAACAAGCGATGGCGATCAGAAATTAAGAAGGCGTGATGCAATTCAAAATAAACTAGCAAACAGCGGAGATTTCGTTCAAAGATTCCAAAAGAGATGGACATTGACAGATAAAGTTGCTGCTGTTGCTGGATGTAAGGTATTCATTGGATTTAACGGCGAACAATCAAATTTGGTCGCGTTTTTGCCAAAAGGATCAAAATTTATCGAAATTCAAAGAAATAATGTGGTTTCAAGAGCGGTTATATTGGCTAGAGCCATTGGAATTAAGACATATACTATTTTTATTCGTGAGGGAGACCCAATTCCCGATGATATTATTGATGTTATTAATAATATGATCCATGATAGCTAATTTCATTATGTTGATGTAAATATTCTTTATTTTGTTGTTTTTTAATATAAAAAATTTTGTATTTTTGAAATAAAAAATAATTTTCCGTTTAGAAACGAAAGAGATTAAGATTTGATAATGCGATATGTTTAATTGGTAATAACATAACTATCTCATCCTTAGTTTCAATAATTTGGAATTATTCAGTATCAATTTCTAAAATTCATAGAATGTTTTTGGATTATGTGTAAATTTTACAAAACACATATTCCGGTTTATGCTGAATGAATATTGATTTTGCAAAATGAACTACTCTGATGCAGCCCAATGGCCCCCAAATTTTGAAAGCAGCTTCTTTACATGCTTGTGAGCTAACATGATGTGAATATTCGAAATAGTTTGAATAGCTTTCCAATTCTAATTGAATATGAGTAAAATTTTTAAACGTACAGTGAATGAAAGGAAGTCTTGAGTATGAAATACAATCTCTTACTCAAGAAAATGAAGAATTGAGGAAGCAATTAAAGAATTTGCAAACTCAATTCGAGAAAGCTGTAAGTGTTTCTTCTGAATTAGAAGAAACTTATCGGAAAAATGCAGAATTATCAAGAGCTTTACAAGAATCTGAAGCGAGATGTGCTGATTACTCCAAGAGACTCGAAATTTCAATGAAAAATTGTGAAGAGTTAGAGAAAAGAATAAATCAAGAACCAAGAAAGTCGCCAATTAAGCCAAAAGTAGAAATTAACAAATCTGAAATAATACAATTAAATTCTAGAATACAAGGATATGAAAAACAACAAATTGAATATCAAGAAAAAATTTCGGCAGAGAAAAAGAGAAATCAAGATTTACAAAACCAACTAAATCAAATTTTTAATACTGCTTCTTCGTATTTTAACTCACCAATTAACGATTCAAATTCGTTATTATTAAATTTAATCAAAATACCAGAGAGTAAGCAAAATGACCAAGAAGAATACGTTTTGGCAATCAAAAAATTACAATCAAAAGTGAAGAAATGGAAAGCAAAATATAAAGAGCAACATGAGAGATATCTTGAGCTTCAAAGTAATAGACCAGTGGCTCAAACAACTCAAGAGTTCATAAATCTTAATACTCAGATATCAGAACTGAAAATGACCATTAATTCTCAGAATGAAAAATTAAAAGTCCTAAATGAGGAAAATAGTTCAATCAAAACGCAAAATGCTCAATTATCTGCAAGAATAAGGATCTCTGAAATGAGTAAGACAGAAAATAAAGAAACTGATGAAATAAATTATCTGAACCAAATAAATCAACTTAAATCTGAGCTTAATACTACTAAAACATCTTATGATAAGTCTAAATCTAAACAAAGTGAACTTAATTCTCAATTCAAGAAAGCTTCTCATTGTATCAATGAGCAAAAGTTAGCTATTCAAGCGAAAGATAATGAAATTGAAACATTAAATTCTAGAATAAATCAATTCCAAAGTGATAATAAAGAACTTGCAGCACAAATTAAAATTATAGACAAAAAGCTTAAAAAGAGTGCAAAGCAAGTTATGGAATATAAAGGAGAATTGTCAGAAGTTAAAAAGATTGTTCAGACAAGAGATAATGAAATTCAATCATTAAATGATGAAATTAACAAATTAAAATTTGAATATAAAGGAGTTATTGGAGATAAAGATAGAATTACAGAAGAACTTAATAAGAATAAGATTGATCTTTATGCTTTGCAATCAAAACTTAAAAGTTATCAAGAAAATCTTAATCAATCTAAACAAAGCGAAAAAACAGAAGTCAAAGTTGTAGAAAAACAAAACCATGTTCAAATAGAGGCAATTCCTTTGAATATTTGGTCATCACTTGATTTTCCAAGAGAAATAAGTGATTCTTTAAACACTATAGTAAGGAATCAAATATTAGAATCGTCTTCAAAAGTCAAATCTATTTTTGACATTTTAACCAAATATTATCAAGAAAAGCTCATCAAATATGAAAAATCGTCAGAACAAAACGCTCTTGAAATATCAGATTTGAAGAAAAACGTAAACAACTTTGCTCAATACTTAGAAAGAAGATTTCCAGACCTTAAAATCGATTTTGCTGCATTAATGACAAGTGACAATGCGAGAGAAACATTTTCAGAGTACATAATAAGTCTCTTTTCAAGTTTACAGAATTTATCAGATCATTGTCAAGAAATTGATGCGCAGATAGTAGATCTTTATATTGCTCTGGATGCAGATACATATAATGATGCTATTTCAAATGCTCAAAAGCTGAGAGAAGTTGCTTTCGCATCAAAGAATAGAATTCGTGATTTGAAGAGAGATCTTTCTCAGATTAAATCATTCTTCAAAGAAAAAACTGAAGAATATGATAATATTACAAATAATCTCGAAAAAGACCTCAATAATATTAAGTCAGAATTAGATAAGAAAGAAATCGAAGTTCAAAACCTAAATGAAACCAATAGATCATTAAAAGAAAATAATGAGAAAGAAATTAATCAAAAAGCTTTGATAATTAATGATCTGCAAGCAAAACTATCAGAACATGAATCTGCGAAAAGTCAGCTCTTAATTCAAAATACTTCAATGAATGAAATGATTAAAACACTTCAAGACAAATTCAAAGTATTAACTGAGAACTATAAGAGATTATCAGCTGCTAAAGATGAAATGGAAGCTCAATTAAATCAAGATCTCAAAGAAAAGGAAGAACATTTTGAAGAGCAAAATCAGATGTTGTTAAAGCAAATTAAGGATCTTACAAATGAGTCTAGTGATGCAATTAAAAGACTCAGAGCCGATCTGGAAACATCTGAAACAGAAAAAGATAAAGCTGTACAGGAAAATATTACATCAAACTTGAAAATTAAACAACTAGAATCTCATATCAATGCAATGCAAAATGATATGCAGAGAAATATGAAAACTTTAGAAATTCAAAATTCAATGAAATTGAAATCGATGCAGAATGAATTACTGACCAAGATCAATGAACTTGAATCTTCAAAGCAAAGTATTATAAATTCTATCACTAACAATCTTGCTCCATTGTTAGCAACTGGAGAAAGACTTGATGAAAACGCCTTAGATCAAACTCTTCAAGGAATCAATATGCGCTTTAATCATCTAATGATTAGAGATAAAAGAATTAGAGAACTTCTCAATATCGGACCAATGGACTCAATTGAAGATGAAATGATTAGATTATTTAAGAAGCAATGATAATTTACTTTAAAACATTTGTTTGTTATTAAATACTTATAATTATTTTAAATTACCATATCAATTGAGATGCATTAGTCATAATGAGATATAGATAGAAATCAGCTTTATTGTGAATTTAAAATTTGAGTAGTTTCGAAAAGCATTAACGCCAAAAGATGTGTTGGGATTTGATTTAATTAATTTGACATTTAATTTTTAAATTTTCACACAGCTAATGAACATCAGCATTATAATTCATGTTAGATTCATTGAAACCTCTAATGTAATGATTTCCTTGAAGTGCTTGTATTATTTTGTTTGAATATAATCATCTGGATCATGTTATTTAAATTTATATATTTTTCTAAAATATCCGAATATGAATTGCAGAATTCCATATATTGGACGATAGAATATGGTTAAATAAGTTCTTATTTTTGATATGAACAATTTGAAAATTCTCTAATATCAAGGTTGATATTTTATTTCTTATTGTTTCTTTGATAATGATTATTTTATATGCAACCACAAAAATACAAAATAGAAATTGATTAGGGAAAAGTAAATTTGAAATATTGAATGACAAGCATTTTCTCTCATAATGTCTGAATGCGATGAAAAATAGTGCATAATACACTCTTGTCGGTCGAAGTTCCGCATTCAAGTTATAAATTGTAGGAAATACATGGTACAAAAATAGTATATTTACAATAAACAATACAAAACAAAATCTATTGGTTTTCTTGAATAGTGGTAACAATTCTATTAAAGCGAGCTGATGAATTTGATATTAAATTGGCTGCTTCTAAAACAGAAATTTGCTCGTCATTGAATAATTTAGCTCGTGAATCTTCGAATTTATATTGGAAATCTTCGATTTTTCTTGATAATAATTTAATTTCGTCGATATTTTGATAATAAATAGATGGATTTTTGGTTTTGTTATTTTCGTGTTGCATAACTGCATCTTCAAAAGCATCTAAAAGCCTTTCTATTTGGCCTATATTATCTTCTGCTTGTGTATATGTAGCTAAATCAAGCTGAAATTGATTTTCAATGAGAGAAATTTCATTTTCGAGGTCAACTAGTCGATCTTCCCATTGAAATAGCTGGTTCTCGAACAATTTCATACGCTGTACATCCATTTTATTGAAAAAAATATGGGGTCTGTTACTTTAAAACCCCACATTTTAAAATTTTTATGGTTTCAGAAGTTAATTTTAGTATCCTCTTGTTATAGCTATTATAATTTCATGTATTTTAAAAGAATTGCTCAAAATTATAAAAATTATATTTTTATTTTTGCATGCATGGTATAAAATTATATGTGTAATAAGGAAGAATTAATAATAATATACCGTACCTTTATTCATTTGATTTCTTCAGTAAAAAATCCATTAATATTAAATTTATTGAGAGCCAATATGAAGGATATACTTGTGTTTAGCCTGTTCAGTAAGATCCTTATCAGAAGAATATGGAAATTCTTTCTTTAAATCTTCTTTAGTCTTCTTTATGAAAGCGGCCATTTCTGGACTCATCTTTTCAACAGCAGCTGCTTGCTCTTTTTTACTATGTTTAATTCTCTTGGATTTATCTGCTACGGATTTTGATAAAGGATAGTTATTTTTGCGGAAATTTTCTAAAGCTTGATTGCGAGCGTCACGAATTGCAATATCTGGATTCTCTTCCATAAGCTGCTTAATTGTATACGATAAACACTCATTCCACTTTGGTTGTTCCTCTGCTGAAAAGGAAGTCATTGTTTGATAAAATTTTAAAACGTCAACTATTGAATTCACCTCTTCACTTTCAGGATAAAAAGAACAATTTCAATGCTTTATCTCTTGATATGCATTGTCCCCTATCATTTGTGCAAGTATTCTTTGCAAAATTGAAAATAAGAAAATCAAAAATATTATTTCAAGCATTTCTATTGTAGGTATTAAAAAAATACGTATGACACAAAATATCTTAACGATGAAAGTGATGTAATCCCTTTAAAAATGAGAAATATATAATTTCTCCACTGAATTATGCCAAATTCATTCAAATGCCGTGATTTTTCTATGTGGTAAAAGTTAATTTCTTACTATGTCTATGATGAAGTTAATAATATATTTTGCAAATATCAGGAAGATTTATGCATCTCTATCTAGTTATAAGAAGTGTCTAAAAGGAAAATATCTATTGAAATATGTATATATATTGACTGGTTAAGAAAACTAATATATTTTCATTGAATGAAATCCATGCTATATCCTTGAAACAAGGTATTTTAGAGCCCATAAAAATTATGAACATTTGACCTTAAAAAAATCAATTTTTGTATTAAATTATGAGAAAAAATAATTTAGACTCTTTTGATGAACTGTGATCGAGTAAAAATGGAGTGTCGTGATAGACATATTGAACGCTAACAGAGAATTATGCATCTATCTATGGTTTTGGAAAAAATTAAACCTATTTTCCTACGTAAAGTCTCATTATCGTTTTTCTGCCTCAATATCGAGTTAAAATCTATCAAAAATTTGAATAAGAGACTTTACGATGGAAAAGGAGTTTAAATTATTAAAAAAAAATCAAAACTAATCTAAAATACATTTTTAAATTTAATAAACTAAAACAATAGAATTACTCTGTAAAGCTTATAACGTTGTTTCTCTTAACATTAATGGTAGCTCTTGGACAAATAAAAGATATAAGTAAAAATGTGATAATTGCTCCAAGAACAACTACAGAAACAACCAAAATTCCGATCCATCCGCCCTTTTTGACTGGTCCAATAATTGGATCTTGTCTCTCAGGCTTTTCATAGGGAATAACGTTTATGCAACAGTCAGGTTCATTGGCCACACCATATTTAACTATAAATGTTGATGCGGCGGTCTGAAATTGGTCACCTTCGAAGATATTTCCATAAGTGGAGAGAGTTCCGATGTAATCGCTTGATTCTATGCATAGTACTGGTAATCCGAATTTGTAGTATTCCTTCTTATCAGCGAATTTGTCAAGATCATATAAAAATTCAGGATAAACTTGGAAGAAAGGCAAATAAGTCTCAGTCCATCTTGAAGTAAACGTGTGGATCATCAGCATGGGAACGTCTTTAAGGTCAACTTGAACGTGAACAAGGAAATCATCGTATGGAATTCCAAAAGTATCAGCATCCACGTATGTTCCGCGTGAGAGGTGAAGTTCCCTGGCCAAAGCAATTGTTTTCAGATGGGCAACTCCTGAAACATATGAGTTATTTATGATAACTCTTGCAGAACTGTTTGTTTCTGAGAAAGAAGAGCATTCAAAGGCTTCGTCGGCAAGAACAACAGTTATTTTGTTTTGCGTTTGAAGGTTAACGTACTTTGAACAGAATTTTCTGGTGGTTCCTAATTTCTGACCCCAGAAATTAGGAACTAGGTTGATTTTAGCGGTCTTCTTCGTAGGATCTAAGTCAGCAGGGAAGAATGCTTTGAAGTTTACGATCACATCTTCTTCAGGAGACAAAATTAATTTTAGATTTCCATAATTGTTCGTTGTAAAGTTGATAATTGGCTGCGGAATGATCTTCATTGTGCATGGAATAGAGAATCCGCCATGTCCGGAGACCATTCTGACACCAACTAAAGAAACTGCGTTTGTCCAGTTTAATCTTGGGACATCTGGCACCATAACTTCCTTACTGAAGTACAAGGAGTCAGTATATACCTTCAAAATGCTCTTAAATTTGAGATTATGATCAAAATACTTTCCATATGTCTCCGCATCGATGTACAATGATGCGAAATTGATGGTCTTGAAGTTTTCCGTGAGGGTGCAGTTAAAGAAACCTAATCTCGTTGAAGAATCTTGATTGGCCGGAGTATCAACTGAAACGTTATGGAAAGAATAGTACATGGTTTGGTTCAGTGCAACTATCTCAACAGGGTTCGAAGCTCTAAGTCCATGAACTGAAATTATATCCAAAGGATATCTCGGATTTACAACAAACTTGACTTCTGTATCCAAATAAAAATCTAACTTGATCGACTTGTAAAGATCCTGAGAGATTCTCATCGAATCAAGGAAAGATGAAATATCATGAAAATCAACATTCAAAGAACTGTTGATGCCGCAGAAGCTCTTGCCATCATCTGATACACAGATTGCGAATAACTCGGTAATATTCGTCAAACTATACCTCTTTTTGTTTTCCGAAATTTCTTCAACAAATTTGAGAGGGAAACCATATCTAGGAACGAAAGGATCGACTGTTCCTGTTGAATCACTCGGAATCTCTATCAAAGTGTACTTATCTGTTGGATCAAAAGAAGAATATGATTTTATTTGGAATAAAGCCTTTTGTTCAAATGGTTTCGTGTATGAAATCATCGGAACATATTTGTCTCTGATGAGTTCCATCCTTTTATCAGTGAAAACTAATGAATCTGTTTTAATAATTTGAAATTGACCGTAAATTTGCAGAATATTCACTGGAGTTCCTGTCAACGTGATTTCCTTGATGTCCTTCGTTGAAAATAGTCTACTTATCTTTGAATTTTTAGCAGAAATTTTGACAATTGTGAAATTTTCCAAAATTTCGAATTCAAAAATTGAAATATTGCAATTAAACTCAAGCTGGCTTATACTCTTTGACGTAATATGTTGTATTTCAAGCTGTTTGTTCATTAAAACCTTTGAATTTTGACAATCATCAGTAAATTTGAGTTGAATATCATTTGTTTGTACGTCAAGTGTAGAGTTAATTAATGTAGCACTGATTGTAGCATCACCGTTCCATTCTCCTTCTTGGATTGTGATATAAGAATTTATTGCCTTTAAACTAACGTTATTAAACGATGAAGCCTTGTTAGAAAACAGTGCTCCGATGTATAGATTACCTGAATTATGAATAATTGTATAAGAAATGTTATTTGCAGTTGAATTTCGGAAATTTGTTTTTCTGAAGCCGTGTTCTTTAGATATTGGAGTAATAATGAATTGGCTGCCATACTGGAATATAGAGCCACCATCCTGGATACCGCTCATGATGATACTCTTAGCAAATACTGATCCATCGTAATCATAGTTCGGATAAAACTTCTCTGCGCTGTAGCAGTTGTAGTATAATGTATCGAATTTAAATGTCGTGTTGGAAACTGATAAAAGATCTGAATATAGGTTATATCCGTAAAAAACTGTTGCTTTATCGAATCCTTGGAATCTTACGCCATAAATCTTCATCTCTTTTATAAAGAACTGTGTTGTGCCGTCTTTTACTGCAATAACATTGTACATTTCGAAGTTATCAAGTGTTGTAATTTGATTTACGTTTAAAACGAAAGATGATCTCGATTCATTGTTTGGACCAATAACAAGAATATGTTTTGCTTCTTTAAATGAATAGATATCAAGAGAAATTGGATTTTTTGATTGATAATCGAAATAATCAATATAAAGTGATAAATAATCAATGCCATCAAACTTATTTCCATGATTCTTCTTTAGCCATGCTTCAAATTCCTTTTCGAATTTCTTGTCTGTCGATAAAAAAGTTTCATTTACGTTTTCTGGGCAATAACTCTTTTTAATTGTCTTATTTGTGATGCAAATAGAGAATCTAGTTTCATCATTTGCCAGAAAATCTTGGCTTTGTATAAAGGAAAGAAAGAACGCGAAAATCATTTTTCAAAAAAATTTAAAATAGTGAATCTGAAAATACAAAACCAAGACCTGATATTTTCTCTTGTTTTTACAATTTCATATCTTTTTGCAAAATATAAAAGATATCGTTCCAAAAGTGACAACAAAAATCACCAATCAATATCAAAATGAACCACAAAATTATAATTCTAATGAAGTATTGTTATAATTACAAATAAATTTAAAAGAATTTTCTTTGAAATCATTAAATTTAAATTATTTTGAATTTACATTTTAGAATATTTAATAGTTATACAAAATCCTTATATATACATACTAGATAAATTTTAGTTTTAGGAATATTGGTCGCTTATATTATCTCTATCATGCTAAAAAATGCAAAACTGAAATATAAAAAACTGAAATGTAGAGAATGCGCCCGTAAATTATTAATCAATGAGTTTTTCAATCACTGGTAGGGAATCGAACGCATCTGGTGCTGCTATCAGACGCACCAAAACAGCAGATATCAGTGGGTTCGAGCAGGATCCAGAAGTTGCAAAGCTTCATGATAAATTAGATTCCGTTGAAGAAATTATAGCAAATTTCAAAGCTGAAATGAAGAACAAAACATCATTCTACGAATCAGAAATGGAAAATCTACAAACACAAATCAGAAAGAAAAAGATTGAGTCAGAAACGAAACTTTCTGCATTACGTGAGAACAATGAAATCGAACTTCAAGAAATTGATCAGCAAAACGACTTAGAAATCAAATCTATACAAGAACAAATCAATAACTTCCGTCAAAGTCGATCTGTTCATACAAACTATCATATGCAGACGATGCGAACAAAGAAAGAAGCAGAACTTGCTGACCTTCGTCGCCAGATTGAGCAGCTTAGAATTAAAAACACAGAAAGCGTTTATGAAAATACAACAAAGAATCAAAGCGATAAAATGAACAATCAAGCCAAAATTGCCGAAATGACAGCTCAAATAGAAATTTTAGATGGCGAAATTAAGGAAATTAATGCATCAAGACAAGAAGAATTACAATCAACTAGTTTGAAGGTCCAACAGACATCGCAAGCCTTCGAGCAGCGTGCTAAGGAGCAGCAGGAACGTATTACCGCCTACAGAAATGATTTCCAGAAGAGAAATGCTCAACATCAAGAGTTAATTGCACTTGCCGAGCAACAGGCAGAAGCGGAAATGCAACAGATGGAAAATGATCTTACAGTTGCTACCGATAGATGCACAAAAATGCAGCAAACTTTAGATAGATATCAAAGAAGGTCACAACGCGAGGAACAAATCATTAAAGACGATATTGCATCTCTTAAGGAAGTTATTGAGCGTTCAAAGAAGCTCGAAGAAGAACAATTAAACTCAACTAAGGATCAAATTACAAAATTACAATCTGCTACTAGCGATACAATAGCTATTGATCAAGAAATTGAGGCTATTCGTGCAGAAATTGAGCAGACTAAGGCAGATAATGCTGATATGAGACGTGAAAGAACTCGTCTCGATACTTCCATGTATTCAACAAGACTTTCAAGATTCCATAGCAAATAAACATTTTATTTATATTTTTATATGAAAAAATTAGCTGATTAATTCATTAGTTGATAAAAATTTGAAAACTCAAAATTTATTATTAACTTTTATAGAAAAATAACTGTATATTATATGTCTTATTGTGTTATATTGGTTTCAGACATGGTTATTAGAGAATGCTACAAAGTTATAATAACGAAAATATGTCCTTTGATATGGTTAAGCTGGAAAATAAAAGCCATATTTTATACGTATAAAATATGCCAGAGGTCATTACTGAATGAAATTTAAAATATTATTTTTATTAAGGGTCCACTGTAAAAATTGAAAGTCTCTCAAAATTGAGAGGCGATTTGCAAATAATCGTTATCGTCTTTTTCGAAAATCCACTTTTCCTAGTGTTCTGATTAATATTTTGTGAATATAACAATGAAGTATATGTTTTAGTAAGATGATAATACATTCTATCACTTCAAATCACATAAAAATTGCAAAATCAGCGAGTTTTATAAGAACATCATTTTTTCGAATTTTTTCGCTTCTGGATGCGTGTTTTGAAAAATAGATATTTTCGAATTTTGATTTTAATTTAAGTATAAATTTTATATTAGGAATTTTTTTGACCTATTTCCAATCATTAATTCCTAAGTTTTTCTAGGAATTTAATTGAGAAGAAATTAGGAAATTCGCTTTAATGCCATTACATCCTAATATTGTGATGCATGTAGTTTATATTTATTGAGGCTAATGCCGGAATATCGTGCATTTTATAAAAAATTCAAAGAATTGACAATTGGATAGCACAAATTTAATTCTCTAGACAAAGTATTATTGTTTATATATTCAAAGCATTATCCTTCGTTTTGAAATGTTGGCCAAAAATTTTCGTGTGATTTTTTGTGTTTCAGCATAAATTATGTATTGACTTATGAAAGATAAGCATTTTATTCATTATCATAAAGATATACCAAAACAAATTGATAAAATTTTAAAAAATGTGTATTTTAGTGGGTATTATTCTGGCCAATGCCCATTTTTAAACGATTTAATATTGACCATATCAATAGCCGACTCAATGTAAAAATTTAGATATTATTTTTTTCATTATTCAAACTTTGATAAATTTTAGTATAATGAATGATTTTGTTTCGTGTATGATACAGAAATGAAAAGCTTAATTAATATCATTTTGCATTTTTTCAAGAATGTTAGAGTACATCTACATTAAAAAATCGGATTCAAATTGCGATACTGCATCAAATTGTTGCACATCTGATAAGGATCTCAAAAGAGTAAAGTTAATTTTTTTGTGTTTTTTTAAGTTTTGGGCCTTAGTAAAACACCATCTTGAGCAATATTTTTGGGACGACGATAGGCCTTGTTTGGCCTTACAGTGGACCCTTAAACTGCGAGACAAAAGGCGTAAGTATTCAATTTTGAATAGTTTACATCATTTTTTTAATGCCTCATTGGCAACAATATGCTCGGCTTTGCAATTCTTGCCGCCCATATAGTTCTGCAAGTATAGTAAACCTCTGCATGATCCATGTTTAAATTTCATGCAATTAAGATAAAATCTAATTTCAAATTTACACTCCATCGGCTATTATCCATGTTACACGAGCTTTGTTACCATCAAATTAAAAGAAATCTCATAAACTGAAATAAATTTTAGCGAAAATTCATTTAATAACTTTTAAATTTTCAGAAATACTTAAAATATCCACACAAGCCAATTGTAACTATAAAATTACAGACTCACCATACTATAAAGTGCTGGTCTTTCAACGAAATATACTTGATACTTTTCATAAAAAATCTTCCTTTCGGGTTACTCGTTTCTATCTAACACCTCAAATAGCTTCATAAATTATGAGCCATCACCAGTACAAAGATGTGATCCCTAACGTAGTTAAATTTTCAGAATGAATTTGAAATTCATTGTTGTTGATTCTATTTTGTTTTGTAACTATGGGGATACTGTGATACTATTTCCATAGGTAAAGCGTCTGTTTACTTGATTATCAAATATCAGATAATCTAATCCTGAACAGAGGATTTAAATTTTCTGATAATATATATTTACTTACTAATATTATGTTATATATTAAATAAAATTGAATTTTTATACCTGGGACAAAAGGCGTAAGTACCATGTGATATGAAATTGTGAGAATCTCATAGAATATTTTAAATACTTTCTCTCAATTTAAAAGTGAACTTACGCCTTTTGTCTCGCAGTTTATGATTCGTGATTAAAAAAAAATAAAAGCATTTTTCTTCATTTCTGATACTTTCGCATTCTTGACTATTTCTTTACAATATCGACGTTCTGCATAATAAAGAGCGGTGTCTCCATATTTATCTTTTTCATTGATATTTGCACCATGTGAAATAAGAAGTTCAGCTACTTTTTGACAATCATAATCTGCTGCATAAAGAAGAGCTGTTCTTCCATCTTACCTTAACATGAAATATTTCGAAAGAGATGGAATATCAAACATTACTGAAAAAAAAGCATTCATCAACATTATTAGTTCGATCGAAATAAACTAAAAATGATTCAAGATTATTAAAATCTCCACAAGAAAGTAAATCGATCTCTATATTGTACTCATTCATCAAGAATGAAACAAAGTCAATGTTGTGTGAAATAATTGCACATTCCATGCATTTTTTATTTGGTGTTTGATATTTCAAACATTCACTCATGAGCTCTGCATTTCCGCCTAAAAATGATAATTGTAGACATTGTTGAGTTATTTTTGAGTTGAATTTAGTTCTTAATAACTTGAAACAATCAACTGCTCCGTAGTAACAATATAATTCAAGTAATGTCAATTTTTCATAAGTAACGAAATAAAGATCATGTAAATCGTCTTCAAGTTTTTGATCTTTATCAAAATTGTTGTTTTCAGTGATAAAAATGAATCTTTCTATGTTATTATCCATAATTGCTCTATAAATTGTATTTTCTGCATAAATATCGATATACGCTTTATCTTCAAATCGATAATCGGCTAATTTAATTCCATATTCTTTGTAAAACATGTAGATACCATTATCTAGATTACCAATATTTCTGAGTTCTCTTACATCATAATCATCAAATATGAGTTTGGCAAGATATAAATATGACTTTGCATAACGGTTATTAAATGGAATGATATTTAAAATGTGTTCCATAATCTTGCTAGGAAGGTAAATCTTTGATTCAATCAAATCTGATTTGATCTTTTTGTAAATTGAGCTTAAATCCTGTTCATTTGTCGTTTTTAGCTGATATAATGTATTATATAAATCGATATAGTATTTGAACATACTTCGCAGTTCACTGTATGAATTTGGACTAATGTCATGATCAGACATCAGAAAAATTTTAAAAGTCGTTTTGCATTTTTCATACAGACAAAGATTTTCATGCGTAAAGCAATGTACCCAAAGATTTCGGATAATAACATTTTCCTCACTTTCAATGAAATTGAAAGAACTTTGGAGGAATATATATATACATGTTTAATAGGGACGAATGCAAAAAGTCAATTAGCATATAATATAATGCTTATATTTAGTAAAATTAACATACATTTCAAGGCTAGATTTCGAGAAAAATTGAAATCGTGATTTTTTGAGTGGCAATATTATTTGTAACTATATATAGTATCCAAATAGCATATTATTGTGTATTCTGAAGTTTACACTTTTTTACAAGTTATCAAAATTTTTTTCGCAATATCTTGCATAATATATTGTTTGGTACCATTCTTTATTGAATGAAACCTATCGGTCATTCAATTTATTGTGTTGATGATTCAAAAAATTTGAGACAGAATTTCTGAATTAATTCAATAGACATACAAAGTGTGTGAAATATGTTTCTCAACGATTACAAGTATAGTATGAAAATAAGAGTCTTTATTAATTTATATAAATAAATAAAAAAATAAGGCGACCGGCTCTTGAACCTTTACCAGTTTGAAATTCTACATGACAGTCTTGTGTAATATCATTTTTGATAAAAAAATCATTCCATAGTTGAGATAATGTCATAGCTGTTATTAAAAATATTATCCCCATAACAAAATTCTTATTCTAAGCTAGTAAAATAATAAAATTTTTATTTCAACAACAACAAGTAAATAGATGAATGAAAACGTACTGCATTAGCATAGATGTAGTAACAATCGTCTAGATTTGAGTTATGACTATTCCAATCAATATGGATAAAATTGAAATAAGAAATATCAAACAATTATATGCGGTACTGTGCACTCATTATAGAGGTCATTTTAATTCATAAGTAACTTATATAAAAAAGCCGACTTTTTTTCCCTATTGCAATAATTTCCTCAAATTTTAGTAACTTTTTCTATATTCAAGCTATTTGAATATATATCATAAGAGACGTAAAAACTCAAAATTATGAGGAATTCTGAAGTTGCATTTTCGCGATGCAAAATTTCGATTTTTAATGTGGGGCTTTGGAAGGTGCAATCTTGATGTCATATCCATGTAGGAGTACTGGTGCAATATAATTAAGATTAACGAAGTTGATTTTAAATTGCATAATGCGGGAGAATAACTGACAATACAACTAAGTTTACTATACATGATAGTTGCCAATTGGAGTAATAAATTAGGCTGCACCAACCATTTCTTTCATTTCCGGTATGACTCGAAGAAAGAAAGCAATCAGTAACCCTAGGAAAAAAAATGAAGGGTATAAATTTTCGGTTGATGCCCAAGGGAGAAATTAACCAAACTCATTATAACAAATTGATGGAGATTTTTACAGGATATAATGATGTCTACAATGCTTTGTACAGGCTGAAAACAAATGACGAAGAAAAATTAAACGCAATTTACAAAAAAATCAAACAAAACCTTATTGTCTCTTATCAAATTTCGCCTGGTGACATTATCACTGATATATCCGAACTTTCAATTTATAACAACCGCTACATGAAGTCATATTTAGCGATTGCCAAACAAATTGTTGACGAATACCATCTAAATCATGTCAACAAAATCAACAGAGTTTTTAATTACCTTTTCTACAAAGAATACAGTACATTATTGAATGAAAACGAGGAAAAAGTTTTAACGATTTTGAATATTCTCATTATTCATCTGATATTCACGAACAAAAGACAATCCACAAATTTATTATGGATGATGACAAAATTGCATTGGTAATTTTTACAGAAAGAGAAGGATTTGATAAAAATCAAAAATTAAAAAGTGATTTATATCCATATTCAAATGAAGGTATTTCGTTACTTGAATTATGTTGTTATCATGGATCTATTGATTGTTTTAAGTTTTTAAGAACGAAATTTCAATCAGAAATCACTCCAAATTGTCTTAGATATTCGTTTTTGGGTGGAAATCCAGACATTATGTATGAATGCTTGAAAGTACAAAAACCAGATGATGAATGCATGAAATATGCAATTATTTCACACAATATTGATTTTGTCTCATTTTTGATGAATGAGTACAACAAAAAAATTAATTTAGTATTGTGTTATGAATACAATAATCTTCAATCATTTTTAGTTTATTTGGATCAAACCAATGATATCAACACATGTTTTGTTATTTCTCCGAATTTCCATCTTTCATTACTTTTAGAATATTTTATTTCAAATGGTGCAGATATCAATGCTAAATACAAAGATGGATGGACCTCTCTTCATTCTGCAGCCAGGAATAATTACAAAATAACATTAGAAATTCTTATTTCAAATGGCGCAGATATCAATGCTAAAGACAAAGATGGATGGACCCCTCTTCATTCTGCAGCCATTAATGGTTACAAAATAATATCAGAAATTCTTATTTCAAATGGTGCGGACATCAATGCTAAAACTAAACGTGGATATACCCCTCTTCATCTAGTAGCCAGTAAGAATCACAAAGAAACATTAGAAATTCTTATTTCAAATGGCGCATATATCAATGCTAAAGACGAAGCTGGACGGACCCCTCTTCACTATGCAGCCAGATATAATAGTAAAGAAACATTAGAAATTCTTATTTCAAATGGTGCAGATATCAATGCTACAAAAGAAGATGGATCTACCCCTCTTCATTTAGCAGCCATTAATGGTTACAAAATAATATCAGAAATTCTTATTTCAAATGGCGCATATATCAATGCTAAAGACGAAGCTGGACATACCCCTCTTCACTATGCAGCCAGATATAATAGTAAAGAAACATTAGAAATTCTTATTTCAAATGGTGCAGATATCAATGCTAAAGACGTATATGGACGGATCCCTCTTCAGTATGCATAGTTATTAATTGTAAAGAAACTGCAGAAATCCTTATTTCAAGCAAGACAAAATAAAGAATCTCCTGATACAAACTATTGCGCAATGAAGAAGTGATAGAAAAATGACAATAAGAAAATACGAATAAAATTAACTCAATTATCCACTTTTTTCACTTGAAAATTAACTCAATGACAATAAGAAAATACGAACATTCTCAACTTCTTTTTTCTGTGAATGTTCTCACCTGATAATTGCAGTTTGACAATCCATTATTTCTAACAAATGTTGCCCCATTGGCAGCAACTATTCCATTCATCACAGCTAGAACAGCGACATCATTTGAAACAAATTTTGTTTTGTCAAAAAAATACTCTACTGTCTCTTCCTTCAACTTGTCTGAATTGATTAAACAACAATTTTGAAGTCAAGATCAATAGGGATTGATAAAATTCATAATTACGTAAAAGTCATATATTTGCTTTTTACTTTTTAATAGAAAAATTATATGTTGTCCATGAGGAGAAAAGTTATCATAATTTCTCTGGGGTATTGAATTTATGAATTTTGATTAGATTCATGGGTATGAAATAATACAACAATAATAGTGAATCCAAGGGCAATAAGAAATTCATCTAGAAACTAATAATTTCAATTTTTTTTTTTAGAGTCTGTTGAAATTAGTTTTCTGGAAAAGAATAATGCTGGCACTAAGATAGGCATCATCATAATGAACTCTTTGAACTGTGAACGTGATAAATTTCAAATTGGAAAGATTTTGCGGGAATGAAATTCAATAATTCCATATATAGATTAACCCTACTGAAAAAACCAATTGATTTTTAATATATTCTTCCAATCTTTCAAATGCATTGAAATAGATAGAAAAGTGACACAAGACAAAAAAAAATGCAAAAACGTGACACTTGCAACCATGAGTAGTGAGAAAGAATCAATGTACTTCAGAATCTATCACACAATCAATCAAATGATGAGAGATCGTGGTTATAACGTCGATCCATCTCGTCTTGAGATTTCTCACGACAAATTTAACAAAGTTTATAGCGGAAACCCACATAATCTTAACGAATGTTATTCAAACATGGAGGGTGAACGTATTCTTACATTTTTCGACTTGATAGAGCGCCTTGATTCTAAGACTATTCAGACAATTATTAAAAATATGGATGAAGCAGGTGTCAACAGAGCTATTGTGATTGGTCCAGAGGGTATATTAACACCAACAGCCGCTCGCAACTTAGATAACGTCCGCTCATCCGGAAAAACAATCGAATTTTTCTCATTTGATGAAGTTATCATCAATATTACAGAGCACGAACTCGTTCCTAAGCACGAGGTCCTTACAGAAGATGAAAAGCAAGAAGTTCTTAAGCGCTACAACGTTACAGAAACACAACTTCCTCGTATTCTTCGTACAGATCCTGTTTCTCGTTACCTTGGTGTCAAACCAGGCCAACTCCTTAAAATTACTAGAAATTCTGACACAGCTGGTCATTATGTCACATATCGTCTTGTCTATTAAAATCTATTTATTAATTATTGAAGGAATAAGTGTGAATTCCATTACCTAATAAAATATAGAATAAACTTTTAATTATTATAAAAAAATTTCAAAAAAATTATAGTTTTATTTTGAATTTTAAAAAGATAAAACACTATCTTCACATTTAAATCCTTCTGTTTTGCAGTATTTACCTTTAAATTTTTCATTTTTTTGTTTTGTATGAATCCTTATGATTTCGAAAATTGGGTGAAGAACTTAAACTCGAATCCTCAAGGAGATGTAGATATAGAGACTCAGATTTCAGAAAAAATGCAGCAAGAAAACATAGTTGAAACTCTTTTAAATTTTATTTCTTCGGATTCATTATCGAATACAGCTATTGTCTTTGCATTGACCATGATTAATTCGAAAAATATTCTAGATGAAGATGAAAAAAATCTTCTAAAGGCATTTTTTTCAAATTATTTTATCGAAAATAGATCAAAATTTATCAATTCTGCATTTTCAAACGTAATTGCGCGACTATTCATTAAGTCTTACAAATTTTCAATCGAAGAAGTACCAGGTTACATACAAAATTTGGCGAATTTAGATTTAGATGGATTGATTTTATCATATTTCTTAGGAATGAATATTATAACAGTAAACGAATCTATAGCAGGAGTCGAATTCATGTTTGATTTGGCTTGTAAACCTTTGTTAAACAATGAAACCAACCCAAATATTCTTCAAGTCGCATTAGAATTCATGTCAACGTATTTGAGTTACTGTAAAAGAGGGGAATTAATATATATTGATAAAGAAATCATGGAAAAAATTTTTGAATTTGGTTCTATCAACAGATTGTTTGATTTAATTGAAAACTTTCAAGGTTCCATACCATTATATGCTCTCAGAATCATAACTACCACACTCAATACGTCAAAATCTTCATTTGGACAAGGAGATAATCGAGATCAATATATAGCCGATATTTTATTACGTGTTTCCAAGATATTCATGGAAAACAAGTCACATCCTGATTATTTGCCAGAGTATGCAGCTCTCTGTATTCAATTGAAGAAATTATTGCCTTCATTGAATCCAAAATACGATGATTTAGGGGAAGAGTTTTTTAAAGCTTATGCCAACCCTGCATTTTTTGTTTTGACACCTACAATTTTACAAAATTATCCAAATTTGGCAGAATTAGTTTTAAGTTTCTTGACAGAGATTGTAAAGAAGTCCGATTCAAGTATTAAGCAGAGGCAAAGCTTCCAAGAAGCTAAAATCATCAAAAAATCTTGTCAACAAATCGCAAATACGATATTTAATATTGAATTTGACTCAAACATCTTAGAACCATTCATAGAAGATAGATCTAGCAAGATACTTAATGTTATACTAGATTTACATATCTTAAACGAAGAAACAGTTTATATTAAAAATGAATCTGAAAAAAATCCAGAAAAAACAACAGGAAAATACCAAATTGTCAACAAGGTCAAAGATTCATTTGATCTTGTCTTCAATAATTTAGGAATCTCGATATCATCAAGAGATTGTGTCAAATCAGCTTTGTATTTATCGTATTTAAAGCTGTGTCTTGATCATCTGAAGAGTCCCGACCTGTTTATTGCTGTAATGGAAACAGTTCGAAATATGTTGTTTGTATTTCCCCCAATTTCGGCTGAAAACAGCTCCCAAATGGCCGTATCCTTGGAGTTATCTATTGTAGGCTTCTTCGAGTTACTTATTCAAGTGTTATTAAGCGATACCGACAAAGATCGTTTGGATTTCTTAGCCGAGAACAGGGAAGTTGTCATAGAATTCCTTTCCAGATTTATTTCCGAGGTCCACGATAACAGTATCTGTCAAGAACTTGAAATTCCGATTATGAGCATCTTGGATTTCTCGAAATACAAAACTCTGCCACTCCAAGTCATCGCCATGGATGATAATTTCTTTTCATTACTCATGGGTGTCGATTTCCTTTTGTTCAACGAAGAAAACAAAAATAAAAAAGCCCGTCAGTTTTTCACTTCACTTTTCTCACTTGGCTATTTGATGCCAGATCCAACACACATCACAGCGATGTTTAACACCATATCTCAGATATTCGCGGAGTCTCGGAATCCGATTATCTTTCACATGTTGAGTGGATCTGTTATAGCGAAAAACTGTATTTTTGATTTTCTTCTTGAGAAACTTCGTATTCAGTATTACGAGTTATTTTTGTCACTTGTTAAAGATGACAAAACAAGTGACGTTATACTAGAAAACATCTTGAAATTCTTAGTTGTTTTCAGTGAAAACTCAAAGAGATTTGATGTAAAATCTTTGAGTGAAGAAGCAATTTTTTGTTACACGTTTTTAACAGATATATTAAGGGTTTACGCGATCAAAGTTAATAGCATGGGCAATAGTATCCAAACATATAAGATAATTGCAAGGATTCTTGATGTTTTGAGGAATATAATCGAATCTAATTATATTAATTTAGGAGTTTTGGAGATTTACAAGAAAACTGACTTTAGAGATATTGTCACTCTTGTTATCAATCGATTGGTATTAGTTCCTTTGTCTACAATTGCTGATGCACCGAAATTGGCATTGAGATATATGAAATTTTTGACAAGTTTATTGTCAGAAATTCCGTCACTTTTCTTTTCATTTGAGAGCGAAATCCAACATCACCAAATAGAAGTTGCGAAAGTTATATTGAGTATTGATGCAAAAGAAGCCATTGATTCATCTATTTCTGTGATTTCGAGTTATTTATCTGTTGTTGATGAGTTTAATGATAAAGATGATGTTCCTATGGATTTGAGAGAGGATTTGTTCAAGTTTTGTTTGCATTCTATAATTGTTGAAAGGAATAAGATTGAATCGCTTGCAAGAGTTATTTTGATATTCGCAAAAACAAATCCGGAATTGGTTAAATTGACAATTGACAATATTTTTGGCCAAATTCCTCCTGAACTGCAAAATGAATCAATTTTCCCTTTCAAACATTTAAGATCTAATTTAAATCCATCAATAGATAGTTCTAGGACTTCTCAGTCAAAACATGTTCTGACTGCTTGTTTAGATATTGGAGAATTCTTTGAAAAACATAATATTAATATAGAGATATAATAAATTTTTTTTTCTATTCTTTAAGATTTTTTTATAAGTTACGATTATTCTCATCTCACTTTCTAGACATGAATTTATATCCATTGATTGTTAAAAATCTTTAATTAAAGTCAATGTAAATTGTTGTCCAAGGCAGTATCATGAAAAGTGACATGTTTTATTATCACAAATTGACAAATTCACAAATTCTGGAAAAAAAATGAGATTTCATTTTGTTTTGAAATTACACGAGAATTAATTAGTAGATAAGCTATATTAAATTTTCAGAATACGACTTTTCTATTCAAAAAAATTATCACAAATTATCACAATTACCATTCAATTCTTTAAAAGCTGATTATTTCATTTCATTATTTTAATTGGTAATATATGGAACCTGACTGGAAAGCAATTAGTAAAAACATTTCCAAATATATAGATAATGAAACATTCTTATCTGCAAGGAAACCAATAGAGATTTGCAGCATACTTGATAATGCAAAACTAAGCCCAAATGAATTCACAATTTTATTCACAAACTTATCAAAATATCATGGCAAATCAGATATGCTAATGATGCTTGGTCGTGCCCGTACATCAGAATTGGCAACACAAGAAGAAGTTGATAAAATCTCTCGAACTATTTCATCAGTTCTAGGAGTTAGCCTTCTGGATAAAGTTTTTACATTTTCTCAAAATAATGCTCAGTCAAAAAATTCAAATTCTCAAAACTCAATTAAAGAAGAATTTTCCAATATTACTGTAACCATGGCACATCAGAAATGTTACGTGTTTGAAAAAATTAGTTTGAATACTACAATTGAGAATTTTAAATTAAAAATCCAGAATATTTTGGGTATTCCAGTAAATAATCAATTGTTATATGCTTGCAATGCACCAATATCAAGTAGTGGCACTTTAAAGCAATATGGTGAGTATGCATCCTTTCATCTTCTTGATGGAGTAGCGATTTCATATGGTGGTTATACTTACCCTATTGATATTGATAATTATGATATAACAGTTGAGGAATTAAAACATATGTTTAAAGAAGAAGTAGGATGGCAAGTGATCTATCAAGCAATCTTTTATAATGGAATCACTCTCCAAAATAATCGAACGTTAAGATATTACAAAATTCAAAGAGGTTCAACAATTGAAGCTAGTATTCATTATAATATCTCTGCCATTAATAGACCTCCTTACACACAAATTTTTTAAAGACTTTGAAGGGCAAACATATAACTCTTGATGTGAATCTTAATATGAAAATCAGTGACCTTAAAATCCTGATTTATGATATTGAAAAAATAATCCCAAGTCTTCAACAATTACGTTATGCCGGAAAGCATTTCGAAGATGATAATACATTAAGGTATTATGGAATTAATAGGGATACTACAATTCATCTTGTTTTAAGATGTCGTGGTGGAAAACCGGTGGTCTATTTGTATCCTAAAGAAGAAATAGATGCAAAAGTGAGTATCAAAATCAATGATGGTGAATTTTCATTCGTTTATCCTTCATTCGACGAAGATAACACGTGGAATGTGAAAGCACTTCCATCAGGCGAGATCATCCACAGAGGAAAGAAACTGAGGTATCTCTTCTGGGAAACACTCTTCTACCCTAATCTCAAAATGGACAAAGGATTCATTATCCAAGGGGAAGGGTGTGTTTCTTTCTTTGAGGATAAGCTCAAGTCTATGAACCTCAACGACACAGAGATATGCGATTTCATCACATACTGGTGTCCGAAACTTTGCGCATACAAATACATCAAAGTTTGCTTCCAGTTTGAAAGCTTCGACGAGATATGCCCGATGAACGTTGAACCGAAACCAGACAACATCAACAGAGTCTTCTTCGCAGCTCTCCCTCTAGATACTCCATGTGACATTGAACCACAAGAACTTCCAATATTCAAACGCGATGGCTTCACAGTCATCGAATGGGGTGGAACTATTATTCCAACAGAATAAGGGAATCTTTGAATAAAAGCATAATTTATTGTTTATTCTTAATTTACTGTATTACTTTGGTTAAGATTTCCTCAACAACCTTCTCTGTAATTTCATTGTTATAGCCAAATTTGTCACTTCTTACAAGCTCCATGACTTTTTGAGTCACAATCTTAACATCACCATCATGAATCTTTGAAGCATGTTCGAATTCTGACACTTTCAATGGCAATCCAAGTTTAGAAGCAAAATTGCGGATGCATTCGATGAATTTGTCTGCCTTCTCATCAACTGTACCTTCATGAATTCTCCAAACGGCCTCTGCAGCTGCCGCCATTGTGACCTTTCTTGATTCTTTGAGCCTCTCATAGAGAGCTGGTGCAACAATTGAAAGGGTTGCAGCGTGATCAATTCCATAGACAGGTGTCAATGGTTGGGCTGTAAGATGAATTTCCCAGTATGGAGCTTTTCCGTATGCAAAAAGATGATTCTGTGCAAAGGATGCAGCAACAATCAACCTCTCATGCAATTCTAAAGATGAATTTGGTTTCATCAAATCATTGCTGATTGTTACAAGTTCTTTCATTATTGCAAAGAAGAAGTTATCTGACATTGGAGATACTTCACCAGAAATAACTTGATCTGTGCAATGAATCATGGCATCGAATAAGCCATTTCTAAGTTGTCTTGCTGGTAATGTCATTGTATATCTTGGATCAATGATTGAAAACTTTGGATAAGTAATCTGTGCGCCACTATGGTTCTTTTCCTTTCTGTCTTCTCTTGAAATAACAAAGATGTTATTCCACTCTGAGCCTGTTGCTGGAAGAGTAATGACTGAGCCAATTGGAACGGCTATTTCCGGGTAGCTTCCTTTAGCTATGATATCCCATGGATCGACTGATGGATCAAGACCTGCACCAGCTGAAATGAATTTTGTGGCATCAAGAACTGAGCCACCACCAACGGCAAGGATAAGATCTGGTTTGTAATCACGGACAACTTTAATGATCTCTAAACATCTTGAGTACTATGGATTTGGCTGGATTCCACCCTCCCATCTTGTCTCACATTCGAGATCTGATAATGCTTTAACAACATCCGCCCTTGCGCCATTCTTGTCGATTGATCCGCCACCAAAAGTGCACAAAACACGAGACTTTCTTGGAACGAAATCTTTGAGATGCTCTTGAACAGCATTAGCTCCAAATACTAATTGAACATCATTAGTCCAAAGCCACTTCATTTGTCTATAAATGAAAAAAATGAACTGATAATGAAAATTTTAATAATTGAATAGACTTTTGAAATTTGAATTGTAATTGAATTCATTAAAAATGAAAAAAACATAACAAAAATATGTGATTTAATAATAAATTTGCGCCGAAGTTCAATTTTTTCTGACATTTGGTCATATGAATTCACAGAATTTTTGTGAAAATTAAAGTTGATGAAAAAGTAATTTTAAGGGATAACATAGCTTAATATGCAAATATGTGAGCATGTGTATTCCATCTCAGAGAAAATAAAAAAAAAATTAAACATGATTAAAATTATAAAGAGATAAAAAGGAATTGATCATTTTCAACAGCATACAGTCGGAAATTCTACAACTAATGAAATTCTTTGAATTGAATTTAAATTAATATCAAATCAAATCACTGTAATTTAGATGGAAAGAATGTATTTTTGATTATGCATAGATGTGTATTATGTGAATAGATATCTTTGCAAAAAATAGATGCAAATTCAAAATATCAAATCATAAACGCATAATTCAGAAGATGTAATAGAATCACATCCGTCACAATAGTGCAAGTGTTTTCTGGTCTTATTGCATGAACTAATATAAACGAAATTACAATTAATTCCATAAAATTACTTTTTTGATATGCAAGATATACATTCATTATCATGTCTAATCTAGAAATAGTAGGTTTTTGAGAAATATCATGAAATACAAACAAATTTTATACTAATTCAGAATCAAAAATATCCATTGAATATGGTTTTCCTTCGCATATCAACAAACTAGTCCCATACTGAGTAAAGTATAGATTATTCCGCATTTTCTTCGCTTTTATTAAGTTATTCATTGCCTTTTCAACATCCACAGAGCGGGCATGAAGAGCAATAAGGTCTGCCAACTTATATAGAGGGCTGTATGGTTCTTGTGGCTTTTTACATTTATCAAAGTTTGTTTTCCACAAATTTTCGTCAGTGAACATTGTTGGTTCTTCTCCAAAGCAAAACGGTGATCCACATTGTTCTGGAGATAAATTTAGCCATTCTCTCATTCTTTCTAGTTCAACATCGTCTTCTCTTTGCATATTTTTAATCCATTCTTCACCATGTTGAAGGACAATACCAGCAGCTTTTCTAGACATTATAAATCCGGTACCACCTTGAAGGAATCGACGCATCCAATGGCCGATAAAAACATTGTCACTATTTGGATCATAATTTCTCTTTAAATAATATAAAAGTCTATTAATAGATTCGTAATCTACAGGAATGTCATCTGTCATTGACCAATAATAGTCTATTGTTGTATTGTAATAAAAATATTCCATTCCTGTCATTCTTCTTGAACCTCGATCTTGATGAGGTGTAAGCCACTTGCCATGTGCGCTTTTATGTCGTAGGTATTTTTGATAAGGAGGAAGATAATGATATGTTAAATTTGGCCCAAGTGGAATTTCTGTTATAAAAGCATAATCGTGAGGGTAAAAAATCTTTTTCATCCAATTTTTCATCATCTTTCTTTGTCGACCTGCTGAACTTTGAGTTGTAACAATGCCATAAAAGAGTGATGGTAATGTTTTTTGAGTAATTCGAATGTCAGATGTTTTCATCAAATACGTGAAAGCTAGAGAGAAATTCAAAACAACAAGAAATACGAATTTAGTCTGTTCATTTGAATTCATAAAAGAATAATTACTTTTTTTTTCAATACTTATTTCAATTCAATTGAAAAGTAAAATATTATAAGATGTGTGATTTTCTTAGTGATTCTTTTTTGAAACTTCTCAATATTTTTTGTATGAGATTTAATTGCAACGGTTATGAAATGAATTGGGCAATGGAATCTAAATAATTTTTTATAATATTTTTCACTTTTTTTTTGATAAGTCAAGATTTCTTCCAAATAGTTTTTTATTAGAATTAAAAGAGACATGTTTATTATGCCCTATTATTTAATACGATTGATTTTGTCTAATTTTTTTCAAAATTTATTGTATTGAAACGGTATTATCAAATTGGTTTTGAATGATTTGATGTGAAATGTTGGAACAAACCACATTCAAACCATATTTGGATGGTCGACCAAAAATTTATATTCTTACTAATTGATCAACGTTTGATTTCATGGCCTAAGTTTGTAATCAAGTTTAATTTTTAAAAAATAAATAAATATCAATATATTTTTGTGTGACAAATGTTTTCATAATGCATTGTTTAACTGATCTGATGCATTGTTTAACAACAATACTGTTCATTTTGCATATTTTAAAATTGAAATATATTCTAGATATAAATTCATCCAGACAATTATCAAAATCAATGTACTATGGAAGGAAGATAATTTTTTGAAATAATGCAAAATTATAATAAATAAAATATTTTAAAAAAGAATTATCGAAATCTCGATACAAAATCTTATTAAAAAGTGTGTTTGTATTAATTCCGAGAATTATCAAATTATACAATTTTCCAAAATTTTTAATTTGAAGATTCATTTTTTGTTTTTAAGGGTGCACTTACCACTTTCTGACAATCTCTCAATTTTTTGACGCTATGATAAAAAGTTATTATAAATCCCAACATAGTACTTCATATGACTTTTATACCTTTTTGTTATTAAAATAAAGATATGTTGATATTATGATAGCATGTCAGAAAGTGGTAAGTGCACCCTTAAAATAAGTAAATACTTCAATTTTTTACTTTTGCAACTCAATATGGAGAATTTTTTTCAAATTATAGATCTATTTGAAATACAATAGAGACCAACACTGATATGGAAGTATAGGATATCAAAGAACCTTTATAATGGTAATACTATGATGAACAAATGCTAAAATCTGACTCAGTTATAATCAAATTTTTGATCTCAGGGAAATTGAAAAAGTAAAAATTTGAGGTATTTTAAATAAAAATAATGAAAATTTTTTTTATTATTTTATATGTCATTTTCAGATTTAACATTATCTTCTTTCTTTTCTTCTGCCTCATCATTCTTTTCCTCTTCATTCTTTTCTTCTTCCTTCTTTTCGCTATCATGATTTTCTTCTTCCTTCTTTTCTTCCTCATGATTTTCCACATTTTCATCATGTTTCTCTTCTTCCTTTTCATCTTCCTTTTCTTTCTTCTCAGATTCAGATGATGAATAAGAATATTCTTCATCTTTCTGTTCTTCGTGTTCTTCCTTCTTCTCTTCCTCGTGTTTAGGCTCTTCAACTACAGCGTTGTCGTAGAAGTGTTCGAAGTATCTGCAAAGTGCTGTGGCGAAATTAAATCCAAGAAGTCCTGGATAAGGGATTGATGACTTCTTGATGAGGTCAAGCTCCTTCATGAATGGTTTGTGCTTCTCTGCAAGCTCTTTCATCAAGAAATTGAGGGCTTCGGCGAATTCTTGGTCTGATGGAATTTCGTATTTCGGCTCGCGCTTGCCCATATCGCCAATGGAGTACATGAAGTGCATTAACTTCGGGTAGACATGGTTGTTGAGTCTGTTGTTCCAGCTGGCGAACTTTTCGTATGGTCCGCACATTTGGCCGAGCTTAAATGCGATTCTGAGGAGCCTGCAGATGCCGCAGACATTGTCTGGCTTGGAGAGGGTCAAGTCTGGAATGTATTGGGTTGGGTTCTCGAGGACACCGCAGATAAATCTGATGCCGATAAAATCTGCAATGTTAAAGTAGGTAAATGACATCTTGTTGAACCTAATCGCGGAGAAGTATCTGATGTAGGATACAAGATGACGTATTTCGTTCGAAAATAGTGAGGATGTGTCCATGATATACTTAAGTGAAGTGAAAAATACTTTTTCTGCCTTCTCAGCGTTGACCATGTCCATCTTTTCGATGTTAAGATCATCGGAAGAGTCGATGTAGACGATCAACTTGCGGAGAAAGTCTGTAACGTAGTTTGTGGCGAATCTTTGGATGAATGCTTTGTAAAGATGAGGAATAAATGGTACGGATGAAAGTAAGAATGTAATGTCGATCTTGGGCTTTGCAAAACTAGAACCAATGATCGTTGCAAGAAGAGTATGAACTGATTGATCATGCATGAAGAGAGTAAGTAAGGATTTGGCAAGCATTGGATGGTTGTTGCAAACATCCTTGCCAAGGAAAGCACGAACCATGTGGCCATCGTGAGCTGTAATGGCATCATTGTAAGCTTTCATGATTAGCGGTGGAATTGCCTTGTCAAATGATGTCATGAACATTGGGAATGATGCATGCTTCTTATCGAATGAAACGGCCCATGCCTGTGTAAGTTTCGAGTCGATTGGAATGAAACGAAGAAGAACATCGCCGCTGATGCCATAAGCAGCAACTTTCTTGTCTTCTACGTTGAATCTTGTGCACTTTTCTTCGATAATAGCTTCGATTTCTTCGCCAACTTGTTTGTAAACATGAATAATCGAATCATTATCAAGAGCAATCCATAAAGCCTTGTTTCCGTGGTTTTCCACACTGCAGAGACCCATGGCAAGGAGCTTTGTATTTGTGGATGTTTGCTTCTTGGCCCATTTCGTTGGTGGGAAGTTCATGCAGAGCCAACGCATGAATTTTGTTGGATCTGATGACTCGTTGGCCATTCTGAGAAGGAGATGAACAAATGCTTCCATGTAAAGATGTGGTTTCGGAATGCATGGTAAATAAGTAGTCGCGATAGTATTCATTGCTTTATTTGGAACTTTTGTTCTGAGGAATTGAAGGAAATCTGTGACAGCGGGTGATGAAGATGCTGCCATCTCATCGAAACTAGGATTATCAATAACTTCAAGGACAACTCTTCCGGCAACTAAAGCTGGTGATTCTTGGAATAAGCCAAGAGCTTCGAGAGAGTCGTTTTCTATAGCTTCTTTTTGAGATTTGACGAAACGCTTGTAATCAATAACGGGTTGATCGACACTATTTATAGAAACTTGAGATGGTTGAATTGTAGGATCAACAATAGCTGGAGCGGTTGGCTTTGCCTCGGCTTTGGGCGCTGAAGCTGCCTCTTTTTTGGTTTTAGAGTGGTGCTTCGAACTCATTCGAGAAATTGTTAATTTTTCAGGATTTAACGGTTAATGAAAATTTGTTTGTGTAATGAGAAGTTTAATAAGAATAATTAAAAATTTGGCTCGGGATTTTCCATGAAACTTTTGTGAAGTGTTAAACCCCGATGTGATTTACAATGGGAAAAATTAGAATTTGGAAAGAGCAATTAATATAAATTAAGGGTTTCGTTTTGCGAAAAAAACGTACAATACGCAATTTCGCTAAAAAAACATTTAGCTAGCAATTTCGACCTTTGACTCCACTCAAGACGTCACTTTTTTAATTTTGCGGTATCATATTTTTGGAAAATCTTTATGAATATTATATAAAAAGTCTCTTTAATATCTATATTTCATATTTTTATCGATTTTTAAAGTTTTCGCGAAAAGTATTCAATTATTTTTGCTATTTGGTCGGGTAAATGTCAGATTTGCGACATTTTCTGATATGATATTCATATTCTACGTTGATAATAATGCTTATAGAACCCTCTTGCTATTGTGTCAAAATTGCGAAACCGATAGCAAAAATATCTCGCAATATCAAAATTGAGATATTGAGTGAATTATGCATTATAGAGATTAAAAATCTGATTTGTGAAAACATCTCATCAGTTTCTAGCTAATTCAAAAATCTTTACTATCTTATTCGATTAAAATGAAAAGGGAATAGCTTCATTATGCTTTAAATGACAGCCTTATAATATAATCATAGTTTTCGCTCAATATGCAGCATTTTTTTTTCGAAATCTATGGTCAATGTCCTAAATACTGATTGCTTTGCATTCATATCTCTTACATTTTCTATACCCACATCACTATTCATTGCTATTCCTATCTTTTTCATTTTTGTTTGTTTCTCATAATTTCTCAAAAAACATGATAACTTGATATTTGTAAATATCATACTTTATAACGTAAATAAGAACTTGACCTATTAAGAAAAGCAGTAATGAAAAGAAAATCTGAAATTCATAAAAATTACAAGTTTCTGATGACAATTAGCTTAATTAAACCAGGTACAAGATTATATAATTGTATTTTCTATCCAATTATCCATATAATATCTTATCCAGAAAAAATAACTTGATCAATACCAAATGATTTTTTAACTAGTAAATAAAGTATTTTCTTTACACACACATTGTATATCATAGTTTTTTTTTTTTTTTTTTTTTTTTGGTTTCGCAAAACATCCAAAAACAAATATGCTATAAAAGTGACAATTTTAGCAAAACGAAACCCTTATATAAATTGTTCAAAATATTAGAAAGGGGATATCAAACGCATTTCAGTTCTCAATTTTGTAAATGTACGATATTTCATATTACGCTTAGTTGAGGAAATAATTCGGATTTTACTTCTTATTTTTCATTCAATTTTCTGAGGGGACTTTATTTGACAAGCAGCCAAATAAACAAATCTATGGTTGATGAAAATATGATTGAAATCACCTTTAGTAGAGCAGTTAAACAAGTCGATGCAAATTAAATCGCAAAGGTTTTTATTCCTTTACTAAAATATGAAAACATCTCCCTCGAAGAGTTCCATCCTCAATATAAATCGGGCGCCAAAAAGTTATAAGGTTGGACTTTATCAAAACAATTAAACAACAACATTTACTTTTAAACAATGAAAGTGAAATTCATGACAAATTAATAATAAATGCTTTCATTGATTCAAAATTATCATTTGTCAATGCAATAAGATCCTGCACACATGTAACTGACATTTCACATGGTGCAATACTCGGATCAGCAAAACACTTCTCCCAGCTTTCTTTTCCCATTACGAAGCCATTGATATCAAGCATGGGATTTTTAATAGGTTGTTTTGTGATCGGGTCAATAAAATCTGGAATTGGATTATTTTTATCTTCTGTTTCTTTTGAATCTGGTGTTTGTGTATCTGCTTCTGCTGTTTGTCCAGTAGAACTTCCATCTTTACTGGATTCTGTATTAGTTTCTTTTGATTCTTTGTTAGTATTATTATCTTTGGAAGACTTTGGTGATTTTCTACTTATTTTCGGTTGAACAGCTTGAGTATAGTCATATCTTGTATTCTGAATCATGTATTTTTTCGGAATTTGTTTGTATTTATTCCAATCAGCTTTCTTTTTATTTTCTATAACTAAATTGTATATTTCATGCTCTAAAGCATCTGATGCTTCTCGAAGCAGAGTTACATCTTCCTCGAATATAAATTGTGGATATCCATTAGGAGTAAATGGATAGTTTAAATCGGGTTCATGTGCTTTAGAAATGAGTAATTCGCGATAATACATGGCGCATTGATAGCCTGCTCTTCCGATTAAAGGGGCCGAAAAATATCCCCAGGGAATTCTCTGTATTTTTAATGTTTCTCTAAAATATTTTAATCTATCATTGAATCTTTCTATTTCTTCATTGTTAAATTCTCCTTTTAATGGTGTTTGTTCAAGAAATGATGAACGAAAAAAGAAATGATTTGGATTTGATAGATAAGTTAAATAGTAATTACGTTCTATATCATCAAGTGATTCCCATTGATCGCTATTGAAATGTTTTCTTATGAAGTTTGGCAATGTTCGGAATTTCTCACTCATGATAAAGAATTTTTTCTATGAGTTTCTTTCAAATTTATCAGATCATTTATCCAAATTAATGTGTAAATCTGAATTGTTGCATGATCTCTTATATGAAATTATCATGTGTCGAAATTCAAAACTTTACATTGCCATTGTCCTCAAATGCTTTGTATAGTATTCAATATTGCAAATTGATTTGTGATTCCATTTGCATATTTTAGATATCTAAGAAACCCTTAAAAATAATTAATAAGACTCTCTTTCAACTCATAAATTTTTGAGATTCAAGAAAGAAGAGTATTTTTGGGACTTTCTTGTTTATCTTATGATTGATTTGTACCTAATTTAACATGTATATTGAGTAAATAATGGTTAATAATGAAAAAACACTCAAAAGAATAGAATTTCTGAATGAGGTTCTTAATTCTTTGAACAAAAGTCATTTGGCAATACTGTAATAATTGGCAATTATCTAAAATATATTCTTCATAGTGAAAATCAATTGGTTATAACTGAAGTAAAGCTTTGAGTTGACAAAGTCATTGAATTATCTTATGATATCATTGGTCATAAAGAAACTATTATCTTTTTCTTAGTGGACATTATGGGAAGATTTGTAATATCTATGTTGGCACCTCTACCATACAAAGTCATATAAACTGACAAAATTCATTACCTTCTATCATGTAATATGGAACATTTTTCTCTAATGATATAAGATTATTAATTATTAAGCAGAATGACTCTTTCATAACTCTTTCGTTCAAAATTTCACAATAGAGTCCTCTGATTGAAGCGATTCTATCGAAAGGTTTTGATTCATGGCTTTTTGTTATATTATCGGAACTTTAAAATATTGAATTGTTTTCCCTTAGATTGAAACAATTCACTTTAGTCGTCAATTTAATTTACCGGCTCAGGAATATAAAGGCCTTTATTTCAAGGAACACTAGCCATATAGATGAGTTTATATGAACTATTTCGATTCCAAAAGTGAAAAGAAATTGAGAATTAAGTCACCTTTTGACAAACTAATGAAAAATTGAGAGGACATAGACCGTTGCAATGTCTAATCTCTGGTCAATAATTCTACATGTTTATAGTACACCTTTTTTATATTAACGAGTCAAGCAGAATTGTTATAGGAATGTTATGAAATCCAAAAATACTATCATAAAACATGGCATTTCTATGGCATTTGAAAGTCATTATGTTTTTAATTCAATCTTCTATATTAGTGCCATTGTGCGTTGCAATTTTTAATAATTTCATGTACAAAAGTTAATTCAACGATCATCATTGTCATATTTAAATTCTAGGCCAAGTTGTTAAACATTATGCAATAAAAATGATATTGATCAATACGATAGAAATAGCAACGAAATTTTATCTGTTTTTTACATGTGTTTAATATTTTATTTGCAAGCTATTTTATAGGAGATAATGCTTTTTACATAACGTGCTTTTTGCAGGGTCTTCTCACAAAAGTTCTGCTGAAAAAACGAAGATTTAGTTTTTCTGAGGGCATTATCAAAAAATTGGAGACTAATTATGGTATTAGGATAGTTGATTCATATTTTTGAAAATAACTAGTGGAAGTTTACATCTTCATAAAATGACTTCGTAACGAGAATGCTTTTTTTCGAAAAATTTAAATCCAAAATAATAACGTATATGTATAGATCTCCAAACCATCAAAATTTTTTTTACATTGAAATGATTTCTAACGAGATCAAAAAAAAATTAATCATTCTTCATAATGGAAGCGACGCAAACTACTCACACATTTAAAGAGCCACTCGCCCCAACGCGAGCACGCTCACGAAGCATCTGCCTCAGCATAAAGACCCTCAAAGTCACAGATGATTCCGTTTTGCTTGATCTTTCGAAAATCACTGGAATTGAAAACGTTACAGCTACAAGTATTGTCAACGGAAGCTGGACACGTGAAGAAGACGAGAAAGTCATCGAGTGGGTTAAGGTTCACGGACCTACAAGCTGGACAAAGTTAGCCGAGACAATCTCAGGCCGTATCGGCAAGCAGTGCCGCGAGAGATGGCACAACAGCTTGGATCCAAACCTCAGAAAGACTTCTTGGACTCCAGATGAGGACGACTTGATCATCCAGAAGCAAAAGGAATTAGGCAACAAATGGGCTAAAATTGCAGAGTTCTTACCAGGCCGTACAGATAATGCTGTCAAGAACCGCTGGAATTCAGCCCTCAAGCGTCGCATTGCTGCTGGCGATGTTTCAACATCCATTCAGATTACAGAAAAGGCTGTCAAGGCTGCTAAGGTAGAAGAACAGCCAAAGGTTGAGATTTTAGGTCCAATTACAGATCTTACCAATCTCCCTTCAGAACCAATATATCCTACCGAACAAACATTTACCCCTTTAACCGTTGAAACTATCGATAATGGTTTCGACGATTTCCCACTCACATACTCCTCACCAGAGTATGTTGAACAAGATCTCCAACCAGATCTTCTTGGGTTCGATTTTGATCTCTAATTTGAGTTCGATTAGAACCCATGGGTGCCTAATAAACACCCCACTGCCGCTGTTTTTGCTAATTTAACTTTTTTTTACTTTTTTTTTCAAACAACACTTAGAATCATCATATCTATCTGTATGTTGTGATTTACATATGATATGTTGAGTTTATGAATGAAAATTAGTTGATTTCTGAGTTATGACAGAGCGTTGAAGCTTATTCGAGTAGGTTATTAATGGGCAAACTATTACAGAAAGTCATTTTGTGACTATTCATTTGTACAATCATTCAATTAATGGAAATATTAGAAATTATTTGTTATTTTAAAGTTTTCATAAAATAAGTCAATCTTCGTAATCACCCATGAGTATATTCATAATACAATTACGTTAATAGCCTAGTTATTATTGTAATAAAATATCTTTCAATATTTTCGAGTTATTTTACTAGAACATTGAGTTGCTTTAGGAAAGAATCAATTATAAAGTATAACAACAATTCCAAAATTTTTTCGTTTTAAGTTTTTCAAGTTAAAATTTGTATTTTTAAAATTCATTTTTGAATTTTTGAATTTTTTTTGGAATTTCAAGGTTTGTGTTGAACAATATCCAAGATATGGATGCGTCTCACCAGTCGATAACATTTGATTTTATGCTTCATTTAGCACACAAGGCGCTTTTTTTGATATATATCATATTTTTATATTCTATATTTGAAGGAAATACTTATAGTATTATTATTTTCTCCTTCAAATAATTCATATTTCATGAGAAAAAGCAAGATAATTCTTCCAATTTCGATCAATTTCATATCGAATTCTTGGATAGTTGTATTTTTCTAAATTTGCATTGCCTACCAAAAATACACAAACACACCTATAGTGGATTTTACTAGATAGATGCTTTATAACACGTGAACTTGTTCGAATAATCTTATATCTTTCAAATACTATGAACAAGTCAAAATTAAAACTGTAAACACACTAAATAGCTGACATATGTGTATGAAACTAGTAAATCAACCAATTAATTTTTTACAAGGATTATCTCAATCATTTCGAAATATTTTTTTGCGATTCTTCGCATACTAGTTCCTCTCTTAATGAAGAATATGTTTTTCAACAGCCAAGGAAGGAAAACTGTAGGTGTGGATAATTTTACATCAAGATTTTGCCTTAAAATGTGACATGTGATTAGATTTTTGATTTCTCGAAATTGAATGCCGCCCAGAGCCGCATTATACGGCAGACTTTTTCGTGCCATCATTGCACTAAATGGTATAGCTACTCAAACTGCGGCTCATAGACGTAAATTTGAGTATGTAATATATCAATTAAAAAAATTTTACAATTTTAAGTTTGCGCAAAGCGAAAAAGATGAAATATCAGAAGAGGAGAAGGACGTAGTTTTAAAAATTATTGACGTTCTTAAAAAATTTAGCGAAATCCTTGAAAAATATAAACTTGATACTTGGACATTCAATGTATTAGATCAATCATGCAACTTTTGTTACAATTACATACAAGACATGTTCGATGAAATTGAATCTCTTTGTTCAGTTATTTATCCAGAAGCAGATCAATTTTTTGATTCACAATCAGAGGATTTAATTAAATACAACACATATGACCTTAAGGCAATCGCTTCATCATTTTCGTCATACAATGTAGAGTCTCAGCCTGATTCAAAATTAATTTCAACGCTTCAAACGAGAATTACTGAAATTTCTGCAAAACTAGCGGAACAAAACTCAAAAATAGAACTTACAGAGCAAGATTTTGCACCAATTCCAAAACAATATTCTCATTTCAAGGTCAATATCAAAGATTTCGTTTTTCAAGAGGAAATCGGCTTCGGAATCACAGGAGTTGTTTTTAAAGGTATAAACAATCGAACCAACAAACTCGTTGCAATCAAAAAGTTCTCTTTATCCTCATTTAATACGGCAAGGTTCCAAATCTACCAACGCGAGGTTTCTGTGTTCTCCAGACTTGCAGAGATCCCTCATCCTTGCATTGTAGGCTTCGTAGGTGCCACAGCCAAGTCTCCTTTCTGCATTATTACGGATTACATGCCAAATGGCTCATTATACGAGGATTTAACGTTCAAACACCGTCTTGACGCCACCCAGAACACCATTGCCACTTACGATATCGCTCGAGGAATGCAGTATCTCCATTCAAATGAGATAATTCACCGAGATTTGAAGTCTTTGAACATTTTACTTGACGAAGACCTTAAAATAAAGATCTGCGACTTCGGATTATCAAGAAATGGAGCTGCTACAGAGACAGTTAAGGCCCAAGCCGTCGGAACAATGCAATGGATGGCTCCTGAACTATTAACAAACGGTAAGATATCATCAAAAATAGATGTTTATGCATACGGTATCATGTTGGCCGAGATTCTCATATGTGATCGGCCATTTAATCAGTTCCACGACCCAAATGAGATGAGAAAGGCAATTATTGAACAGCAGGCTAGGCCAATACTGCCAAGTCGAACACCCAAGAAGATGAAAAGCCTAATGGAAAAATGTTGGGCTCAGGATCCCCAACAAAGACCAACTTTTTCCGAAATTATTGAATTATTTGAAACTTGTGAATACTTTTTTGATGGATGCGACATCGAAAAATTACGTAGCCATATCGAGAGATGCAAAGCGAACCCTATTTACGTTGCTGCTGATTGGTTAAAGGCAATTGAAAATTATTCAAAAAAAGAGATGACTTTTGAGCAATTTGTGAAGATGTTTGAGAAGTCAAAAATGCCAATGAGTGTTTCAGAGTCTGTTTTTAAAATTTTCAAAGAAAATTTAAATTCAAATTCTGAATTACTCAGTATAATGATTAATTTTCTTCTCAGATCACCGCTTTTTGATGATTTAGTTGATATTGTAAGGAAATTTCCTGTTAAAACCTTACAAAAAGATTTAATAGAAAAATTCTTAGAAAAACTGCCAACAAAATCACCAGAACAGGATACATCAATACTAATTTTAGCATGCAGACAAGGGTTCCCTGAAGAAGCCTTTCTTTCTGCTAAAACTCAAAAAGATTTGGTTTTAACGATGAATGCTCTTTATTCCATCAAAGAAATAAGACAAGAGTACATAGATCGAATAACAGAAAAAGTTATTGTACTTCTAAACCGAAAAGACGATGAAATAATTGAGATATCATTAAAATTAGCTTTGACACTTCGAATTTGTCAAAGAATTCCTCATGACCACTATTTATATTTTGTAAACTCTCAGAGGCCTTCCATAAGAGATTTATTTCTTATTTGTGCTTCTTTTTGCGAAGATTTCGAACCCAGGTTTCTCCATTATTGCGGAAAGATGTGGAGATTGGAAACAGCCCAAAATGTCCTTCTCAAGGGCATAAGATCTTATACTTCCGCCGCTTATGTTCTCAACAAAATTGAAAATGCAGAGAATCTTCCCGTTGAATTCTCAGCGAAATTCCTATATTTGGCTGCACGTAATCACGAATCGTTACGCGCAAAAGCGAAAAGGATTTCTTTGTCACCGCATTTTTCAAATGCGAGCAGTGAAATCCAAAAATTACTTTCAGCATTATAGTACTAATATTATTTTGTATGTTTGTATATAAATTATATTATTATAGAGTTTAAACTTAATTTTGTTAATATTTGAAGTTTTCTGCTTCTTTTCATTTAGAAAATTTATAAATAACTGTTTTTCTACAATAAGTCATTAAAAATAATTCATAAAATTGAACTTTTTAGAAAAACTATCGTTTGAGTGGAAATTTGAATAGAAAGTTGGTTTTTTTTTTGACTAAAATTAAGGGTGCACACGAGAGGATCATGTAAACTTCAGAATTTAGAACCTTATTTTTAGGCATTATCTTGGCTACCTATTTAGGCTCGAAAAGCAAAAAATATCAAAAAATACAACTTGAGTCCATTATGACCCTTTCATGGAGGTAGTTTTTATCCGCTAGTATTTTCCCTTTGAATCTCTTTACAATTCGAAATCAAATTCAAAACTCAGTAGAAGAAAGGAAGAATCGACTTACTACGGTTGTAATACGAATAAATACATATATTTAATTATTTTTATTTACATAATAATTGTTTGAAGCTCATATTCCAACAAATTTTTAAATAAAAACATTAAAATGTTGAAAATGTTCATATATTTTAATAGGTTTTTGGCACTTTATTGAGGAATTACTACATACATAGTCGAACTGAACTTGATATTTTGAAATTTAAATTATTTATCAAAATTAAAATTTAACTTGAAATTTATAATTATTTAGTCATATTTTGCATAATTCTAAGTAGATTTTGTAAAAAATCAAGAAAGAAAAATTTTAACGTGCTTTATTTTTTCTTTTTTATAATAATACATATTATTATATAATTAACATATTCATAATGTTTCACCCTTTCAAAAATATAATCCTCCTCCTCTCAACTAAACGTACATACGGGTGGCCTCTTTTTTCAAAAAATTAAATTTTGAAATTTTGGGCTCAAATATTAGAGATTTTTTCAACCTTCAACGATATATGTTGTCTATATCAGACCTCCTTTCTTTTTGATACTTAACATTGTTCCTAAATCTTAGCCGTTAAGGCTGTTCTGAAAATATTTTTTTTCGAAAAAATTCGAAAAAAATTCTTAAAATTCAAAAATCCCTTAATTCCTGAGGATTTTGGAAAAAAGTTTTTATATGAACATGTGTATATTATATGAAGTATATTGATAAGGTAAAAATCAAATTTTATTGCATATTCATCGAGAAAATAAACTAACGAATCCCTCAAAATTGAGAGGGTAATCCTCCTCCTCTCAAATAAACGTACATACGGGTGCACCCTTAATGTTTGAAAAATCCCTGGATGTCAACAATATTACAGATAAACTTCATCGAGCATGTGCCACAGGAGATCTAGACCTTGTTAAATCTCTGATTGAGAGTGGCTATGATATAGAAATTTCAAATAGTTCTGGGTGGACCCCTCTCATTTACGCATCAAGGTTCGGTAATCTTGAAATTGTTAATTATCTTATCTACAATGGCGCTAATATAGAAGTGAGGGTAGATGTGGATGGACTCCACTCATTTTTGCTTCATTTAATGATCATATTGAAGTTGTTGAATACCTTATATCTGTTGGAGCTGATAAAGATGTAAGGAGTCCTTCAGGAGAGACTCTTCTCATTTTTGCATCACAAAGAGGTAATCTTGATGTTGTTAAATATCTTATCTCTATTGGGGCTGATAAAGAAGCGAGGGATAATAGAGGAAATACTGCCCTCACAGTTGCACGTGGATCTGTCAGAGAATATCTATTATCTCTAAGAGATAATTAATCACATAAAAAAAAATTAATAAATGTTTAGTAAATAATACTACCGGAGTTCAAAACGTATTCTATATTCTCGGATATTGGCAAAACATAACAATAATGACACAACACAAACATAAACACTAAGTCATATTTGTTCCAAATGAAGATAAATTTTTAATTTTGTTTTTTTTTTGCAATTTGCATTTGTAAAAAAAAGTAGTACAATTAATAACCACTAATCACCATTTTTTACTTGCCCTTTGTCTGGTTAGCGACAGCGTTGATAGCAGCAGCGATCTTCTCCTGATCACCGAGGTAGCGGTGGGAAACTGGGCGGAGGTTCTCATCGAGCTCGTAAACGAGTGGAACAGCTGTTGGGATGTTGAGAGCAACGATCTCATCCTCGGACATGTTGTCAAGATACTTGACGAGGGCACGGAGGGAGTTGCCGTGAGCAGCGATGATGACCTTCTTGCCAGACTTGATGGCTGGAACGATCTGGTCGAACCAGAATGGAAGAACACGATCGATTGTTGTCTTGAGGGACTCGTGGAGTGGGAGGCAAGCTGGGTCGAGGTCCTTGTAGCGGGCATCGTTGCCTGGGTAGTATGGAGAATCCTTCTCAAGTGGTGGTGGTGGGATGGCGAAAGCACGGCGCCATTCTGTAACCTTCTCCATACCGTACTTCTTGGCTGTGTCAGCCTTGTTGAGGCCCTGGAGAGCACCGTAGTGGCGCTCGTTAAGACGCCATGAGCGAATGACTGGGATGTGCATTAAGTTCATGCCATCGAGTGTGATCCAGAGTGTGCGGATAGCACGCTTAAGGACGGATGTGAAGGCGATATCGAATGTGAATCCTTCGGCCTTGAGGACTTCACCAGCAGACTTAGCCTCTTCACGGCCCTTGGCAGAGAGGTCGCAGTCGTACCAGCCTGTGAACTTGTTCTCGAGGTTCCATTCGGATTCACCGTGACGGAGGAGGACGATAGTGTACTTAGCAGCCATCGTTGAAAGTAAAGCAACTCATCGACCACTCATCCACTTTTTGTAAGGATAATTCTGAGTTTCCCGTAGAAATTTTTTCTGAACACCAAAACATCATAATTGCTCTATACTGAGAAGCAAACATTTTAAATCAATATTAGTTGTTGGATGGTGAGCGGATTTCAATTATTTTTGATTGTATGACTTCACCTCACCAACAAATTACAATATCGGATTTGGTTAAGGATATAGTATTCTTATTCCCATGTTAAAAATAATTTAAAAGGGGGGAACTCATTTTTTAGACCAAAAAAGTGGCACCTGAGTATATTGTTTCTGCTTTATCTGATCATTGAAACGGAATTGATCCACGTTATTAGTATGAAACAATGATATACTAGGGACTAAAGAATATTAATATTACAAAAACCCAATTATTCGATGTTCAACTCATCATATCTTGCATTAAAGTTGATACCTTTATTTTTTCGAAATATTACAACAGTAGCAACCTTACGTATTACCAATGATAGCCAAAGTAATATTTTGGCATAAAAAATTTAAAACGATATTAAAACAACAGATTGACTAGTCATTCTGGTATAGTATCATGCATACTACCAGGTGATAAAATCTCAAATATCTTAGCTTAACTTCCGTTTGATTATGAGATACAGATCTAATGTTGCTTGTTTTGTAGCCATAGTCACTAACTGATAACATTATTATGATAAGAAGACTAAATGTGCGAGTTTAATATACATTTGATTCAGATTTATTATCGAAAATCAAATCACAATATATATCTTGAACTCATCTGTGAATAAAATCATGATATTATTGATTGTTTTCTAGACTTTTACAATATTTTCTAAACAAATGAAGATAATCCTTAATTTGAACCAGAAATAATTTTAAATTACTAACAATGGATGGTTATCTATATATAATAATATATTATTTTTGATAGTAAACTATGGCTGATTTATGGTTTAGGAATATATACTTCTTTTCTATATCTTAGAAAAATAGTTATATGAATTGGCTGTATAATTGATATATTTTAGTAGAAAAATTATAGAATAACAAAAATAAAAAGTTTTTATCGATTTATAACACAATGAAAATGGTTTATTTCTCTCTAAATTATAAATCTTCAAAAAAATTAACCTCATTTTTCCAAAAAAATCGATAATTGAAAAAAACGTTTTCATTTTCTAGAAAATTGCTTAGGCTTTTTCTAAAATGGAAAAAATTTGGAGAATTTCACCAAGGAGAACTTCATTCTAGGTATCCAAGGCAATTGCTATCAGTCAAAAAAAACTCGAAAATTTTAAATATTGATATCGATTTTCATCAATCACTTAAAATCGATTGTTTGCAGTCGATGTTATCACATGTTATTAAATTTTAATATATTTGAACATATTACAAATCGTTTTTGAAACTTATCAACATTTCGCGCAATTTAACAATACTCTAACTCTCATACACAGTTACCATTACCACAGTCTCATTTTAAGAAGAAATAATTAATAAAATCTAAGATCTAACGATTTATTTATCCAATTCGAATAATATTTTTAATTATAAATCCTTATTTGTGCATGTTTTATATACATTTGTAGAAAGAAAAACGAATAAAGTGTTACTTCAAAAAAATACCTGAAAGCACTCTAATCAATAAACAATTTACTTTTTTACCATCGAATTTTGCTCGTCTTGAGCCATATTTTTCGTTTAATTTTCATGATACGATAAAACATACGGGTTATCAAGTAAAATATGGATATTTTAGAAGATCATAATATATCTCGAAATCAAACGAAAGCCATTCTATGAGTCCATACACACTATTACTATACTTCATATGTCAAGCATAATGGGAACAATTTTGGTCGATACCTTTGTTGTCGACGAAGTTCCCCCCTTTTAATAATTTTCTAATATCATTGATTATTTCCTGTTTTTTCAATCTCAATTCCACAAAACTTCATATATTCGCTTGCATCTTGAGTGAATTATAATAAGAATTTGTTTTAGATGATTTATCCAATCATAAATTCTCATTAATATTACATTTTGAACAATATTTTTTCAATAATCTATCTTTTTGAATCAAAATCGTATTTAATTTAAAATTGTCTTAGTCCAAAACAGTCAAAGAGAAAATGAACACATTATAATTTGAATGAATGAGAATATAATTAAAAAAAATGTGAAGAATTAAATCATATAAAGTAAATAACGATTTACTTGCGTGGTGGAAGGCCAGCAGCAACAAGATGCTCGTTGAGGATCTTGCGCTTCTCTTCGAAGGAGAGCTTCTTTGTCTGTGGCTTCTTTGGAGCGTGCTTCTGCTTCATCTCCTCAGCGTGCTTCTTCTTGTCAGCGATGACTGTAGCAGCTGGGTTCTTGCGGATGGCAGCGTGAGCATCCTTGTAGATCTTCTCAAGGTTGTCAGCTGTGATTCCGGCCTTGACGTAGCGGGAGAACTGCTTGTTGTACTTCTCTTCGGACTCCTTCTTGAGCTTGCGCATGTAGTCAGCAACGGCGCCACCGAGGATGTAGTACTGGTTGCCCTTGACAATCTTGTCAGCTGGGACGTCCTTGCGGTCCTTGCCAGCATCCTTGTCCTTCTTGTCGAACTTGCAGGCGAGGCGGCAGACGTTGTGTGGGATGAAGAGGCCACCATCGACGGCACCCTTCATGACGGCGAAGACCTTAGCGCCTGTTGTTGTACGAGCAAGACCAACATCAAGGATAACCTTGAATGGACGTCTGTTCTCTTCATCGTTGAGGTATTCCTCTGTGATCTCTGTCTTGAAGACATCGGCAAGCTTCATCTGTGTGAGGAAGCGGCGAGCAACAAGAAGACCTGTAGCATAAGCAGCTGGGTAGTTGGAAAGACCGAGCTTGATGCCGTACTTTGGAAGTTCTGTGGAGAGAGCCTGGCAGACTGTCTTATCACCTGTGAGTTCGGCAACAACGATCTGAGCAATGACCTTTGTGTTTGTGATACGAGCGACAAGGCGGTACTTAGCAGCACCATACTTTGTCTTATCCTGCTGGATGAGCTGAGTACGCTGAACGTAATCAGTCTTAGCCTCACGCCGCCTGCGGAACTTTGTTTGGAAGCGAGAGAAGTAGCCGGCGTTCTTAACGAGCTTAGCAGACATCTTCAAAAAAGGAAGGCCATTTTCTCTCAAATTTCGGAGCTCTGTTCGGATTTTAAATTTCAGACATATTGCTTTGTAATTCATCAAATAGGCATGAATTTATATAAAAATGCATATGTGATATAATTTGTTGTGATATTTTGCAGAATCAATATTATTCGTATTCGAATCCTTCATTATTGCATTCACTCTTATACCATTGGTTATATATTGTAATAAATCAGCAGGAAAAACAGAATATTCATCATAAAACTCAACCTCTAAATTTCAATATTGAAGGAGACTACCGAATAACTCTAATTATTAATACCTTATTGTTCATTAGAAAAATACGTAAAAATAAGTTATTATTATTAAAAAGATTCTTTTATTGAATCATATTACAAACAAAATAAATATGTTTTAAACGATAAATCTCATATAATGACTTTCACATTAGCAGCCTTGATGATTTCGGATAGATCACTAAATCTATTCTGGATTGCTATCAGCATCTGTTCTTCTGTGAGAGAACTTGCTGGAGGAGCTTTCTTTCTAGCATCATTTGATTGCATTCTGTCCATTGCGCTCTCATAAATGGTACGAATAGATGTTTTAATCGAAGATAATTCAATTAATTTTTCTTCGATTCTTTGAACATCTTTAATCAAAGACATTTTTCTGTATTCTCTTTGTTGCTTTGTTTGCTCGTATTTTGCGATTTCTTTGTTAAACTTCATTGTTCGATCGATTAAATATGCTTTTCTAAGTTTAAGAAGTTCATCAAGCTTCTTACTATCATCTCCAAATGTCATAAGCAAGTTTTGATATTTGCCCAAAAACTCAGCTCTTGTTTCACTGATAGAATGATAGCGATTTAACATATATTCAACCGAATCGAAGTTAGGGCTGTAGTCAACAGCTGCCTGCAAGTAATCGGCGCATGGCTGCAATTGATTGATCTTTTTCATCAAATCATCGATTTGAGATTGCAATTGATCATCTTCTTTTTTAAGAACATCGATTTCTTTTCTTATATTAATCATTTTTATTTTAGATTCTTCTTCACGTTGTTGCGCTTTTTCGAGTTCTAAATTATGATGACGAGTAAATTGAATCAAATTGCGTTTTTGGTCTTCGAGTTTTGACATTTTATCATCTATTTCTGCTTTTCTTGATTGGAAGTCAACTTTCCACTCTTCGAATTTTGATTTTGCTTCTTCTAGTTCGTCATTCTTTACCATCATTTCTTTTCGCTTCTCTGCTAATTCTGGAGTGATTGCAAGTTTAGCAAATTCAAATTCTTTTGGTTCCTTCATAGCATTTCGAGAACGAGGAGAAGTTCGTTTTTTCATTAAAAAGTGACAAAATAACTAAAGTTGATCTCTTTATCCAGAATTATTGTAACTATGAATTCATCACTCATGAATTAATTATTTTTAGCCAATTTATTTCATGGAATTATGTTTTGCATTTCATATAATACATAATTCTAAATTATATAACAAATCTTTGATAGTCTTATTTTAAATATTAGATCTTTATGGTGAACCATCCAACAAATCCAATTCTAATTACTTCATTCTTAGATTAATTCCTTCTGCTTCTATATGAACTTATTTTCAATTGATAATGAAATGCTATAATTATAAAAAAAGCGTAAAAGTATGTGTAATTTAGCATAACATAGCATGGTATGGCAATTAACATTCCTGAATATCCTTCTTAACTTCAAAAATAGTAAAGATTTGATTCTTTATCCATAATTGAGAAGTTTACATTTCCTTCACCCCTCAAATGATGTAAAAAATCTTTTATTTTGTTATTTTTAAAAGAATTTAATTAATGGTACATTGATACATTTAATTCTTTTATTTCTGTCACCGTTTATAACTCAGTGAGTTAGAGTTGAGATGATCAAAAAAGTGACAAATGATAAAAAATGAGAAAGTTCTTGCCAGAGTAAAGCCAATATCTAAGATTGGCAATGAAAATATTCTCGGATGTATGAAGATTACTCATTTTTCAAACGAAAAATCAATTAAAGCATCATTTCTCGCAACAGAATTTGAATTTATTCTGTTTGAAAGTAGCTCGCCTGATGTTGATATTCAAATCGCCGATCGTTTTTTCTGGGATGAAATCATTAGACTGTCAGCTCCTTCAGACATGAGAATAAAGCTCGAGACTTCAGAATCTAGTATTGAATTCGAAGTCCCCAACGCTTTTCAAGTCTGTCTTGCCATGCACACATGCTGTGCAAGACTAGGAGGCAAGTGCAAACTCGATTCTGACAGAATTAAGCCCCAGGAACCTACTCCTTTATGGAATTTGTGCCAATTTAAATATAATTTATTCAAAAGAGGAATTCCTCTTCCACAAGTCTTAGTAGATGAAATCGAAACAGCTTTACGCCAATCTTATCAAAAATTAGATCTTCATGCGCTACAATGCTCAGAAAATTATCTTCCTGACTTGCTCAGTGCATTCTCGGACTCTACTTGCTTCAAGGAAATCGTGGTTCCAGCAGCAGCGGAAAACACAAACTGGAATTTGATTTGTCCTTTCTTGAAGACAATGAAAAACTTCGAAACTATTTCGTTTACGGAAAAACTTAATAATCAGATACCACAGGTCGTCAATTCATTGATTGCAAACAAAGAAACAAAATTATCGAATATAAACTTCATAAAAAGCGGAATTAATGCTGACAACATGCCGTTCTTCACTCAGTTAATTACGTGCAGGAGGTTTAATAAGCTAACTCTCATTGATGCCGTTGAAAATTCATATTTTGATAAATTTATTCACGAACTTTCAAAGACAGACGCAATTAAAACATTAAATACGCTTTGTATATGTGATATGCCAACATTAAATATCGATTCGCTTATGAAAACTCTTCAATTAGTCAAAGTTTTCGAATTTCACAACTGCCAAGTTCCAATCGACTCGATTTTACCATATTTATCCAACAAAAACCTACAAGGAATTATTGTTGATGGAGGCTACATCATTGGCAAAGAGTTAGACAAAATTCCGATTTCATCTTCGATAAACAACTTCACATTTACTCATGTTCGCTGGGAAAACTACAGCCTCATCTCCATGTGGTGCCGAATCCTCAACCACATCCCTCAGAACAACTTTATTACGATGGATCTTAGTTACGCGCTTACTGGGCCACAGTCATGGTCATCCTTCTTCCAAGCATACTGTGCTTCACCTACCCAATCCATTAAGTCCATAAACTGGTCCGGAAACCAGATTTCTCCCGTATTTTTACAATTTCTCGCCAAATGCCAGAACTTGTCCCAGGTCTACCTTGACGACTGCTATACAGCTCAGACGTACAACAGCTTCATTTCTCCGTTCGCTGAAATGATGAAAACAAATTCTTGCATTACTGACTTGTACATGCGCGCTTTCGATGATACTACACGCGCTGATTCATCCTTATCCAGGTTTTTGGAGATTTTATCTTCAAATCAGGCGATATTATATTTAGATCTTTCCGGACAGCCATTGGGCGAACAAGGGCTTGCTACACTTGCCACGTTTATATCGAACAACAAGAATTTGAAGACCGTGAAGTTTGACGGCTCTTTAAACGTGTCAATTGACTCATTGATGAATTTCTTCAACAAAATCATGCAGAGGGGCGTTCCAATTAACATCGAATGGCCTTTTGCCGAGATCGCCAAGCTCCGAAGCATTTCCGGAATCCCTGCATCGAATATCTCAAAATTACGACAGCTTTGGAAGAATACTTGCATAGGCGGAAATACAAATCAGCCTCTGACAGATATAGAACAAGAGCCAGATATCATCAGAATCACAAACAATACTTGTCCAGCCAATTCTCCTCTGGATGACACTGATTACCACCCAACGTGGAAGTTTAACTTGCCGCCAATACCAGAGCCAAACAATACTCAGCTGTTTCAGAACGCTGCTTCAATTTATTCAATAAATGAATTATTGAAAAGAATGAAACAGAACTAAGGTTGTTGTTAATTTGTTAGATTGTTGTATTGAGATTACGTTTATTTTATTGTATTTTTATTTTCCATAAATTTTTGTAAATTTTTTTTTAAATTTATATTTTAAACTCTTCTATTTGTTTTGACATAATATACATCACATAATATTCACATATATTGGAATTCTTTGAGTAAAAAAAAAGAAATTAAACTCATTTTAATGGTTCAAGTCTCTATAACTTACTCTCTCAGAGAAAATTAAGAGAATCTCACCGAAAGAAACTGAAATGGAGGCGGATTTTGTAAAAATATGATTAAATTTAAAATTTAGATCTTTATAATATTTATAATATATATAGATATAAAGTCTATCAATCCATTTTTATAGATGATTGATAGCATAAGATAAAATAATAGAATTACTGTGGTTGTGGTTTGTATGGCTTGAACTTGTTCTTTTGACTGCCATTTTGAACATGAGGTCCTTGTGGCTTCTGAGGTTTTTGATTTTGCTGTCTTCTTGGATCATTCGGTTGTTGATCCTGGACAACAAAACTCTGGCTTTGCTGAGAAGCATTAGAATCAGATCCTGCTTGATTCTGATTGCGATCATTTCTGTTCTTTCTCTGGTTCTGATTTTGGTTTCTTTGGCCACTTTGTTGAGAAGGATTATCAGAGTTTTGATTTGCTTGTTTATTCTTCTTTCTTTCAGATTTCCATGGTCTTTTTCTTGTGCTCTTCTTTCCTTGGTTTGGCTGTTGCTTACCATCATTATCGCTTTCATTTTCTTCATTGATTTCTTGTTTAAGAGGTTCAGGAGCTTTTGGAGGCTCAACCTGTTTTGGTGGTTCATTTTGCTTTGCTTTTGGAGTCTCATTTTGCTTTGCTTTTGAAGGTTCACCTCTTTCAGGTTGATTTGAATTTTGAAGTCTAATCTCTTTTGTCTTCTTCTCAGGTTCCTTCTTCTCTCCTTTCGTGAAAATGTAAGGAGCGTGACATCTTTCACATTTTCTTACAATTTGTTCAGTTTCAATTTCATTACCTACAGGACTTATATCAAAGAAATTGATGCAACTGCAACGGCAATGAACAACTTTGATGTTGTGATGGACTTGTTCATATCCAAAGAAATTACTAAGTTTAATATTCGCAATTTCATTTGCTTGCTTGAGAAGATCATAGACAATTTTGATTTCTTTCATGAATTTCCATGAACTTGTAATCGGAGTTTTACATTTAGGACATCTCAAGTAAAACAGTTGTTGCGGGTTTATTTGACTTGGTTCCATAATTGAATTGAACTGTGATCTGATGCTTTCTTCTGCTTCATGGAGTGGCATCACGCATTGGCAATTGTTCGGGCGGAAGAAAGGTCCATCTCCTTTTTGATATCCGCAGTCATGTTGACAGCAGAAAATGCATCTTTCGCCAGCTAATGCATTGCAAGTAGTATCACATTCCTTGCACTTAATGTTGCATCTGTGTTCACATGATTCAATTGGTTTTCTATTCATAGACATTCTTCCGCAAACTTGGCAATTAAACCTGGAATTTGGTTCTTCATAAGCGATGCATTGTTTGCAAACAAAATGCTGATGATCATAACTGCTGTCACTACATTTGCATTTGCATTGATGTCCACATGGAAAAACATATTCGCAATTTCTGTTGCAGACATGTGGTTGGCCACATTTAGCTTGGCATTTGTGTCCACAAGGAAGAATATCCATACAGTCGAGAGTGCAATGTTTTGTACCACAAGGAACTTTTTGACTTCTCAAACATACATCACATACATAATCAACTATTGCATCACAATGATGTGGTGTTAATTGAGAATTATGTTTGCAAGGTAATGTACACTTATGTCCACAAGGAAGAGTACATCCACACGGTGCTTCACATATAGATGTTCCTGAATCATCTTCGATTTGTGAACAAAAAACTTTTGTTGTGTGGCCATTTGGACATGTATAATTTGTTTTCTTTTCACATGGAGGATGTCCGTTTTTTTGGCATTGACTACAAATGTGTCCACATTCATTTCCGCATTTACGACATTTATGTTTGCATGGTTGTTGGCATGGCAAGATTGGAGCACAACATTGTTTCATTATTGTATGTCCACAAGGAAGATTGATTTTCTCTTTAACAAAGCAATTTCCGAATCTGTATTCCCAAAGTAATTCAGGGGTTGACAGAATTTTTTGATCATGGGGACATGAAATGAATATTCCAGGTAGACATGATTCTTCGCATCTTGATTCACATCTATTGATAATTTCTGGCCATATTCCTGAATCTTCGTCTTTGAGGAGTTGCTCGTTTCCCAAAACAATCAAATAATTCTTTGCACGAGAAAGAGTGACAAGGGCTCTATTCTTTGCTTTGACAAATCCGATTGTTTCTGATCTTGTTGTTGCAACAATTACAACATCATTTTCTTCGCCTTGGTAGTTATCTACGCATTGGACATAGATATCATTGATCGTGTATTCAGTGCCAAGGAAAGGATCAAATTCATCGAATCCGCCAGTGTTTCTTTTTGTTTCGTACTCTTTTTTGAGTTTCTGTTTAATGAGCTTTGCCTGGCCTTTGTAGAGTGTAATAACAACAATTTTGTCGGGCGTTATACCTCTGCACAAGAAGAAGAAAACCAATGCAACTACGTAATTCGCTTCATTATCATTGATTTTGGATCTTGATGTCGCTAATCCTGTTTCAACGAATTCCTTTGACAAAATGAAATTAACTCTATTTTGAAGACCTGGACAGATTTCATTATTGTTTGTGTTCGGAGCATCTATGATGTCAGGGCAAAAGTTTTCTCTTATTATCTGAGAAATTTCGGGATGCATACGACGCTGAACAGTCAACTTAAATAAGTCCTTTCCATTGACTTTTCCTTCTGCTCTTACAAGTCTTTCGAACATTGAAATGTCATATGCAAATGACGTATTTTTGTCTTCGCGAATTTCATATTCAACTTTCGGACGAAGTTGCTGGAAATCACCAATCATCAACAAGTGTTTGATTGATGCACCAAGGAACGATGCTGATGTTGCCTCAGTGAGTTCACCAGCTTCTTCGATGATCATGAATTCGCATCCTGATCTTTCGATGGCAACTCTGTGCATTGTTGCGTAACTTGCTGTTAATCCAACAACTCTGAACTGAGAATAAAGCATTCCAACAGCTTTATTTCTTTGTAGATCCAGTTCTTGAGAAACAGAATCCATTTGATTGACCATTGCATCTCTTTTGTTTGTGATAACAGTGAGAAGGTGCTTGAAGAAATCTCTCATGTATTCAAATCTTTTCTCTGGCAATTTCTGTGATTTCTTGATTGCTTCTTCGATCAAATTATTGATTTGGCTGTCTCTTAAAACGTAAATATCAAATTCAGTTATATTTTCACTCTCAAGACCAGTTGTATCAATATCTCCTTCGATTATTGAAGCAAGATCATCATCACTGGATTCATCATCATCAGAAGAAGTTTCTTTGGTTTTCTGTTCTGGCATTGGCTGAAGTTCTCTAATTTCAGGAAGTTTGAAATTGTTATCAATTTTGATGTATTCTTCGAGAATTCTTGCTCTGAAAGGATCACCTTGTTGATCTCTATCTTTGTCAACGAAATCATCATGATTGATACGAGCATTGTATGGATTCTCATCATAACGAACCAATGGAATTTTGAGATTTTCGGCAAGCATTTCCATTTGTTCATCAAAATTGTCGTTGATCCAATACCCAATGTAGTCTTTATCCTTTGGCATCGATTTCTCATTTATTTCGATGGTATTTGGATAAAAAGGAAGCTTGTAAACCTCTCTGAAATCAAAAGAAAGAAGTGGAAGAAGGTATTTTTCCATTCCTTCTTGGATCTTCGGGAGATAAAATTGTTTCCTTTCAAAGATGTACTTAACAACAAGCCTGGAGATCTCGAAAATCTTTGTAAGAATATAATTTGATATTGTGATTCTTCTTGAAAGGTTTTTCATTCTGCCCTTTTCATCTGAGAATGAAGTCATCTTATAGAATGGACTCATCATTTGTCCATTGTAGCATCTCGAAATAAGGACTTCATTTTCTGTTCTTAATTTTCCTCCATGACGTAATATTGACTCAGGAGGGGCAAAACTAAGAACTCCTTCGAAGAATGCGTCCAAACTGTGGTTGGTCTGTGTAATTACAACAATTGGCTTGTGGTAATTAGAGTTGAGAAGCAATCTGACGGCTTCTCTAGCAAGATGTGTTTTACCAGTACCAGGGTAACCGTTGACCAAAGTCAAAGGATACTTGAGGAAGTGACGAATTGAATTATATTGTTCTTTATCGACTCTAAGGTGATCGTTCATCAAATTTGCACACATTCCATCAAACCATGATTGATAGCAATCCTGGAGTATTTTTTCTTCTTTTTCTCCTTCTTTCTTCATAATATTAATATTGTATTGAATTTTTTCAGAATCAGGAGAAGGTTTTTGGAAAAATTATGCTTGATGATTGATTCGTTAAGTAAAGGGAAAGAAGTGGAATTCATGGTTTTGATTTCTTCCATTCGAATCTGGGAAACTCTCCAGATTTCGAGAGGTTCAAATCCATAATACATCTGTCCAGGAACGATCCTTCCATTAACCTGTTTGCAAGGGAAAAGACCTTGTTTTAACATCTTAATTGATTCTTTGAAGATTTTTTCATTTCTCATGCCAGGAACACATGAAACTACAGCAGATTCTATTTTACTGCATTTAGAATCTTTTGACAGAAGAACAATACTTCCATTTCGTAATCTTTCTTCAGATTCCCAATCAATCTTTTTGGATTTAAAAAAAAAAAAAAAAAAAAAAAAAAAGGTAGTGGGGCTTCCAGGCACTTCGTGCCCTCTAGCCCCGAAGATGTTTAGTATAAATGAAGTTCTTATATACGGGTCTTCCAGGAGCTTTTCACAAAATATATATGTTTTCATGTTTTGTCACTTTTCTGTCACTTTTCAGGTAAAAACATTTTTATTATATATATAAAATGAATTTTACAAAACCACCGTTACCCTTCTTTGGAAATAAGAGTAGATGTAAAGATATTCTATTGAGAGAACTTAAGAAACTACCGAATGGTCTAACATTTGTAGACTTGTTCGGTGGAAGTTTCTATATATCTCATTTGTGCCATACAATATTTCCTGACTCAAAGATTATATGCAATGACTTCGACAACTATATGAACCGTCTCAAACATATACCAGACACAAACAAAATATTGAAAGAGTTAAAAGAAAAGATACCTATAGGTAAGATGGAACGTATACCATTAGATAAGAAAAATACTGTCAGAGAGGTTTTGAAAAAGGCAGAGTATATTGACTGGGATAGTATATCTGCTAGACTATTATATAGTGGTGCTATAAGAGTTCATGACATTGAAACACTTATGTCAAAAGTTTTATATCTTAACTATACAAATGTTTTCAAAGAGAACATAGAAAAATATATTGAGGGTATAGAGTTTGTGAGATGTCATTGGACAGAGTTGTATGAAAAATATAAAGACAAGGAAAATGTTTTCTTTATAGTGGACCCGCCGTTCTATAACACATGGGATTTTCAATACCAAGTAGACTGGACTTTGAGAGACTCTTTAGAAACTTTAGACGTTTTACATAACCATCCATGCTTTTACTTTACATCCGATAAAAGTGGTTTGGAAAGTGTCATGAGATGGTTAGAGGACATACATGACTATGAGTTTAGATATGACAAGATAGAATATGAGAGAGGTCCTATAAACCGGAGAAAGTGTCATAACAAAGAAATTTTATTAGTAAGTAAATGTGGTTTGAAATAGGACTACTTGTTTTAGGTTTTTTCCATTGTGTCATTTATTTATTTGACGTGGCAGAAAGATATAGAGAATATGAAGATGAACCAATGCCTGCAAATGTTCAGTATATGTACTCGTAAGAGATATTTTTATCTAATATTAAATGGACGCACAGAACTTAGCGAATGCACAGCAACCTGGACAACCAAACCCAGAGAATATTCCAAATGAAGTTAGAATACAAACTGCAATGGCAAACTATGGTCAAGTGCCAACAGATGTACAAATGCAAACTGCCATGTCAAATGACGCTGCGTTAGGTTTGCCACCATGGTATGCAAATATGAGATGGAAAGAGTTTTATACAAACCCTGAAGTGGGATATAAACAACTTTATGCAGATGACGCGAACACAGGAGTTGACCCAGAATATGTTTTCTACCAGAGGAGAAACAGAATGTATGAGCTCCAGTTAAAGAATGCTATGGAACTCAACAGGAAACGTAAGAGACTAGGCGGACATTAGATTTTTACATATAGTAAAATGGGTTTCTTCAGTAAGATAGGAAACTTCTTTCGAAATGTTGGAAGAGGTATATGGAATGGAATAAAAACCGTAGGAAGAGGAATTTGGAACGGAGTCAAAAATATTGGTAAAAGGGTAGGTCAGTTTGTTGGTATTATACCTAAAGACCCTGAACCAGAAGAACAAGCTCCTGTTATACAACAGCCTGAACCTGCACCACAGTCTAGTTGGCAACCAAATCCAACACCTCAACCGTATTAAAAAGTTATATTTTTACCGTTCGATAGTAGTTGTATATGAAACTAAGTTCTAAGTAAAACGCATGGTATAATGGAATTATTCTTTTTCTTCCATCTGTAGTAAACCATACTTGAAAGTCTGAAATACTTCCACTTGGTGGTTCGTATAACTTTGTAGGTTTTTCGTAAAAGTCATTTGCCAAGCATAAGAAAGAGTTTTGGGCGCCAGAAAATGAAGCATGAACAATAATAGCAGCTGGGTCGAAAACATCTTTAAATAAATATGGTTCATCTCTTGCATATCGACTGTAAATATTTGCTAAAGGAAGTTCGACTTTCTGATTTAACATTCTTTGCAAATAATACCATGACATTGCAGTGAATTCTGTATATATTTGTTCGTCTTTCTTTGGATTGTCTTCGTAGATTTGAAATGACACTTGTGAATTTTGTTTGTCATATACAATTCTCACATAAAGTGTGCTCTCGGTATTTGCATATTCATCAGCATATTTTGCATAACATGAATTTATTTTATCTTCTATATTTTTTAACGCAGTCTGTAGAGAAGATGAAAGGTCAACTTGTATTAGCTCAATTTCTTCCCACATTTTTCGTTTCCCTTCAGATATATAATCTATATGAAACCTTACAATAAATGGAAAACTTTTATCTTCTACAGACACAAACTTCATTCTACGAAAGCCAATAGCTTTTGTGACGGATGGGTCTCTTAACCATCTAAGTGGGTAGTCAAAACGATAGCCTTCATGCTTTACGGTCTCTGTCTCAAACTTTTGACCGACATTCGTAAAAAGTTCATCTAATGGTTTAGTTGTAGCAACTCTTGAATTTTCTTTTTCTATTGGAAGCATATTTTATCTAGAATAAAAATGTCGAAAGATATTGCTTCTATGAGAGAAATACAACACAACCGACAACTCATTATGCAAGCTCTAAATAAGAACACAACAAACTTTTCAAACTATTCTAAGATATCTGAGTCATTGAAAGAAGGAAACTTAAAACTGGCATTAAACCCAATGACAGATGAGTTTCTGTTTCAAGACAATAAGAACCATACTGTCTGTATAAATCCAACAAAAGGAACTTTAAACGAGAAACCTATAAATGAACTTCTTTTGAAAACGGATGTTGACAACAAAGCTGACAAAGAGTATGTCATTGAAAAAGTTCAAGAAGAACATGACAGAGCAGATGCAACATATGCAACAAAAGCAGATGTTGAAAAGAAAGCTGACAAAGAGTATGTTGACGATGAGTTAGCATATGTGGCTAGTGGGTTAGTGAAGAAGGCAGATAAGGAATATGTGGATGAAAAAGACAATGAAATTAAAGAAAGGGTTGAATGGTACCATGAAAGGACAACAAAGATTTTAAAAACTAAAGCTGATACAGGATGGGTTTCAGGATGTTTAGACCTTAAAGCCGACAAAGAAACTGTAGATATGTTGGCACAAACGGTTTCAAGTCATACCAGAGGTTTAATGGAAGATGGACAACAGTTGAAAGAGCTTGAGAAAGGTGTTACAGAGTTAAGGAATACAAAAGCAGACTCGACATGGATAGCTGGATATGTAGATGCAACAAAAGAACGTATTTTAGCATGGACAGAAGGAACATACCCACAAAAATATCATAGACATAGCATCTCTGACGTAAATGAACTTGAAGAAAAGTTATATAAAAAAGCAGACAAAACAGAGCTTCAAACATTAAAGACAGAAATACTTCAAACAGTATATCCTATAGGTTCTATTTATACGTCAATGAACTCTACCAGACCAGAAGTAGTACTTGGTCTCGGAACTTGGACTCAAATAGTCGACAGGTTTTTGTATTGTGCAAACTCTTCAAAGGAAACAGGTGGAAGTAAAACGATTTCAGGTGAAAATTTACCTGCACACAGTCACTACATAGATTTAAGTACATCTCAAGCAGGTTGGCATAAGCATAGATATTGGGATTGGTCAGGAATGACAAAAGGTAAAGGATATGATGTTAAAGACAATGTTAAGTTTGCTATAAATTGTTACTGGAGTGACACTCAGGGAGAAGGAAACCATACACATTTCGTTTCAGGATATACGCAAACAACGGGACAAAGTAAAGAATACATGCCACCTTACATGACAGTTTACGCATGGTATAGAATTGCTTAGTCGTCATTTTCAACTTCTTTAGCATATTCGTCAGGAGTTGTCTTATATTTGTTAGGAACTGTCTTTGAAAGTATACCACCTTGAACTTTGACAAGTTTGAAACGAGGTCTGACAATAGTAGTTTTATCTTCTGCTTGCAGTCTGTACATTTTGCCATGTTTGCCTAAAACTTCATAATATTCTCTTGTATACTTTCTTCTATTTTTACGAACACGAATGTGAGTACCTGTCGGGTTCCCATTGTTGTCATAGTCAATAGTATTTTCATATGGGTCGCGTTTAGGTATTTCTATTTTTACTTTGTCACCTTTCTTAAGTTTGAAGCCTGGCATTCTTTCTTGTTTGTCTCTTTTGACTAAACTATTAAATATATAGTCTTTCTCTAAGTCAGGGTTGTTTTTCATTTCTTCGGGGGAGTGGTTTCCCAAACCTTTTTGTTTACGGTTATTGTAAATATTTAAAACTTGTCTCATCTTTGCCATGGAGAAATGTCTATATTTGTCGTCATATGACATTTCATTTGCTTCACCACCTTGTGGTTGGTTTAAGTCTCTTAACATTTTTATACAACCGTCAATGACACCAAGAGCAGAATGGTTTTGGTCGACAATGAAATATTGGTTTACATTTTTTGAACGCAGATAGTTTTTAATATCGTCTGATTTGAAAGA